TTGCTGAAATTGTTTATGATCTGTAGGAGTTCCCTGGTAGAATTTTTAGTAACACTCATGTAATGTATAGTATCATATCCTCTGCAAATAATGAGACTTTTACTTTTCAATTTGTATTCCCTTGATCTCCTTCACTTATCTTATTGCTCCAGCTAAGACTTCAAATACTGTATTGAATAGATACGGAGAGAGTAAACAACCATGTCTTGGAATGATTTTTAGTGAAATTGCTATGAGTTTTTCTCCATTTAATTTTATGTTAGCTATAAGCTTGCTGTAAACTGCCTTTGTTATATTAAGGTATGTTCCTTGTATCCACAATCTCTCTAGCAGTTTTATCACAAAGGGTGTTGGATTTGTTAAAGGAATTTTCTTTATATAATGTGATGATAATGTAGTTTTTCCCACTTTGTTTATTTATATGGTTGATTGCATTTATTGATTTTTACATATTGGACCATCCCTGTATCTCTGGGATGAAGTCTATTTGATCATGGTGAATGATATTGTTTATGAGTTCTTATATTTGGTTTGCAAGTATTTTATTGACTATTTTTGCATCTATGTTAATAGAGGAAATAGTCTGTAATTCTCTTTCTTTGTTGGGTCTATATGTGGTTTGGGTATCAGGATGCCTGAGGCCTCATAGAATGAAGTGGACAATGTTTCTTCTGTTTCCGTTTTATGGAATAATTTGATAGTAGTGGGGTTTACTCTTCTTTGAAAGTCTGGCCCTGGGATTTTTTTCCTGTTGGGAGACTTTAAATGGCTGCTTCTGTTTCACTGGAGGTTATGGGTCTATTTAAGTTGTTTGTCTGATCTTGGTTTAACTTTAAGATGTGGTGCCAATTGAAAAAAAATTATCCATTTCTTTTAGATTTTTCAATTTAGTGAAGTACAGATTTTTTAAAAAGTATATCTTTATGTGTCTCTGGATTTCATATGTGTCTATTGTTATATCAGCCTTTTCGTTTCTTATTTTGTTAATTTGAATATTCTGTCTGTGGCAATTAATTTGGATAAGGGGTTGTCTATTTTGTTGATTTTTCTTAAAGAGCCAACTCTTCATTTCATTGACTCTTTTTATTGTTCTCTTTGTTTCTATTTTATTGATTTCAGTCTTCAGTTTGATTATTTCTTGCCATCTACTCCTATTGGCTACGATTTATTCTTTTGGTTATAGAGTTTTTAGGTGTGCTACTAAGTTGCTAGTAAGACATCTCTACAATTTGTTTGCTTGTTTTTTATGCAGACACTCGATGCTAGGAACTTGCCTCTAAGAACCACTTTCATTGTGTCCCATAAGTTTGGGTTTACTGTATATTCATTTTCATCCAATTCTAGAAAGTTTTTAATTTTTTCTTCATTTCTGTTTTGACCCATTTTGCATTCAGTGTGGAATTGTTCTGTTTAAGTGTGTTTGTAAGCTTACTGTTGTTGATAACCAGCGTTAATACTTAGTGGTCTCTTGAAAGGACAATACTCAACTTTATATGGAGAAACAAAAGACCCAGGACAGCCAAAACAATCCTGTACAATAAAGGAACTTCAGGAGGCATCACCATTCCTGACTTCAAAAGTCCTGAAAAAATCTTGGTATTGGCACAAAAATAGACAGGTAGACTAAAGGTATCAAATTGAAAACCTTAATATGGACCCACACACCTACGAGCACCTAGGTAATCTGTGGGGCCTTGGGTAGTATTTATCCCTGGTGTACAAACAGACTTTGAGTGCCCATCTCACAATGAGGGATGCTCTCTCAGCCAGGACTCTTGGGGGAGGGTCTAGGCCCTGCCCTGGATGAAATGATGACTCTGGAGATCGGAGTGGAGATTGGGTGGGGGACTGGAGGACCTGGTGGGGAGGGTGGAGGAGGAGGGGAGGAAGAGGGACCTGGGATTGACATGTGAAACAAGATTGTTTCTAACATAAAAAAATAATAATTAATAAAAAAGATGGGGTACATATCTAAACAGAGAATTCTCAATAGAGGAAACTCAAATGGTTGAGAAACAATTGAAGAATGTTAACCATCAGGAAAATGCAATCAAAGCTACTTTGAGATTCCATCTTATACTTATCAGAATGACTAAGTTCGATAACACTCATCTATTGCTGGTGGGAGTGCAAATTTGTAAATCACTATGGAAATCAGTATTATGGTATCTCAGAGGGTAGGCATCAATCTACCTCCAGACCCAGTTATAACACTCTTGGGCATGTACCCAAAGGACACTGCATCCTACCACAAGGGCCCTTGCTCAACCATGTTCATTGCTGTTCTGTTCATAATAGCCAGAAATTGGAAACAACCTAGATAGACCTCAGGAGAGAATGGATAAAGAAAATGTAGTACATTTACACAATGGAGTATTACTCAGGTGTTAAAAAGCAGTATCATGAAAATTCATCCTGAGTGAGGTAACACAGACCTAAAAAGATAAATATGGTATGTATTCATTTATATCTGGATATTAGCAATTAAATAATAATAACCAAGCTACAATCTGTAGACCCAGAGAAGTCAGGCATAGAGGAAGGGACTGGGGGCAGGGAACACCTGGGATGTGGAAATAGAAAGATTTTTATGAGTGGGCTGGAGAGGGGATGAGAAGGGGAGGACCCGGTGGGAAGCAGGCAAAGAGATGGGATTTAGTGAGGAATGAAGGAAGAGACAGCTAGAATTGAAGAGTATTTCAGGGTCAGTATGAAAACCTAGGTCAGGGTAAACTTCCAAAAATATATGAAGGTGATCCTAATTAAGTCTCTAAATGAGAGAGACAGAATCACAAATGGCAATCTCTTGTCCCCAAAGGAAGCTTCCAATCCAGGACTGAGTTTCATCCAATTGAGTTGTTGGCTTAAAGGGTTCCTATGAAATTCCCAAACAACCTAGGCTGTTGCCAAAACTATAGGTTGCTCTCAGCAAACTAACAGCAAGAGCCTCATTGTGGAAGACAACAACCACACAACTCATTGAACACAGAAAGTATTGGGCCCCAGCCCCACAGGATCTCTGTGAGTTGCTGGTCAGCCTACAAGTGCAACTTGTTTTCCAGTCCAAGTGCTTCCTGTTTTCTAGTCCTGGCTTACTGCCCTGGCCTTGACCCTCTGCCTTCAACATTCAGCAGGAGGAAAACACACTCTCTTCTACCTGGGGTTTTTCCACTGTGCTGCAAGCCCTCCTCCCTCCCTACAAGAGAGAGACCTCTTAGCACTTGCAATGAAGACACACACACACACACACACACACACACACACACACACACACACATTCTCCTGGCAATAAAGGCAACACATGCATTCTCTTAGTACAAACAGCTGGACGTCTGGTCTCTCCTGATACCTCGGAGTTGGAGTTGCTTGTTGCTTGGGCGCTGCAAGAAAGGTCAAGCTGGAGCCCACATAGAAGCTCCTCCACCGTGTTCTAGTGGTTTTGACAAGGAAAGGTACTCTGCAGGCTACCAAATGAGAAACATTAACACCAACCCAGCCACAAATCTTTCCTGCCTGAAAAATATGCTAGGCGGATGGTGACACAAACCTCTCAGGAGCAACCAACTGGTATCTGATTTGACTTAAGGCACGCTCCATGAGACGGGACCCCTACCTGACACTGCTTAGGTGGCAAAGGACCACAATCTAGACAGCCCCGACAACTAGGGTAAAACCCAATACTACTACTTTCCTTGAAAAAAAAAAAGAAAACAAAAGGAACAAAAGGTAACAATAAAATGACTCTTAATGATATTCTGCAATACTCATGTCAGTGCCTTAGTCAGCAGTCATCATAGAGGCTTCATCCTGCGGCAGATGGGAACAAACACAGACACCCACAGCCAGACATTATGCAGAGGGGAGCAAAGGGAGGGGGAGAGAGAGAGAGAGAGAGAGAGAGAGAGAGAGAGAGAGAGAGAGAGAGAGAGAGAGAGAGAGAGAGGAGAGAGAGAGAGAGAGAGGGAAAGAGAGGGAGGGAGGGGAAAGAGAGGGAGGGAGGGAGGGAGAGAGAGAGAGGGAGAGAGAGGGAGGGGAGAGAGAGGGAGGGAGGGGAGAGAGAGGGAGGGAGGGAGGGAGGGAGAGAGAGAGGGGGGAGAGAGAGAGAGAGGGAGGGGAGAGAGAGGGAGGGGAGAGAGAGGGAGGGGAGAGAGAGGGAGGGAGGGAGGGAGGGAGGGAGAGAGAGACAGACAGACAGAGAGAGAGAGAGAGAGATTGGAACACAGCTCTAAAGGAGGCATCTCCAATAACTTCCTCCCTTCAGAGCTCAGTGAACCCAAATCCCGCAGAAGAGACAGCAGAAGGAGAGTGGAGAGACAGGGAATGGAGGACACCAGAAACACAAGACCCTCTAAATCAACCGAGCAAAACTCATCTGAACTCAGAGACTGAAGCATCAAGAACAGAGCCCATATGGGTCTGCGCCAGATCCCCTGTATGTATACAGTAGCTTTCAGTTTAGTGCTTGTCTGGGTCTCCTAGATGTGTGAGTGAGAGGATCTCTGATTCTTGTGCCTTCTCTGTGGCTCTTTTATTTTTCTGTTGACTTGGCTTGTCCAATTTTGAAGTGCGGGATTTCATTTCTCTGCAACTGGACCCTGCCCTCAGTCTCTGCAATTGGCCTCAGTTTTGCCTGTGAAGTTGGACTCATTTGGATAAAAGTCTCTTCCTTGCAGCTTGGTCGGGGGTTCATTATTTCATCCCAGAAGGTTTTCCGGCTCTGGCTTCCTAGGCCTCTTTGAAACTTCTTACCATTTTAACCTGTTGTGCGCAGTCCGTGGTCTGTATATTATACATATAGATAGATAGATTTACCTTGGGAGGTTTAATGCGTGATCCGAAAATTAATAAACAAGACTGGCATAAAATAACCTCGGCGAGGGTTGACAAGGAAAGCCTAGTCCCTGAGAATTGGCTGCCACGGAAATTACTATACCTTGTGAATTTATTGTCACTTAACAAATATGTCACAAACCTAGCAATTTGCCCAGAGTAGCAGGACTCCCAAGTGGCTTAGTTATGGTGGAAATACTTTCTTCTTCGCTGTCTTCTCTGCTACTCAAGCACATGAAACTCACCGCAGCCAGGTTCAAGATGACCTGCAGGGGGAAGCCCGGTGGGAGGCTGTTGGTGGCATCAGACAGGAGGATACTCATGGGGAAAGAAAGAACCGTGACGTCAGAGACAGGGCAGCGTTCCTGGGAGGAGTTAAGAAGCCTGGTCACTCGTATTTGGCAGCCCATTTGACCCAGCCGTCCTGCCAGAGTCGTTGTTGGCTGGGCTGCACTGAAAGATGTACTTCCACTGGGCTGCAGACTTCCCGCCGCCGCGGCTCCTGATGGGGAGAGATGGCCTTGAGCTCTTACAGGCAGCCAGTGGGGAGCGCCACTCTCTGCTACTGTTCAGCAACCACCGGGTGTACTCCTGTGGGGACAACAGCTTGGGCCAGCTGGGCCAGAAGAGAGAGCAGAATTCCGAAGAGCCAGGTGAGTACCCAGCCCAGGAGCGGGTGTCCAGAGACGCGATGTGGGCGACTCGGTCTCTGGACCAGGGATACCTGGATGCCGGTACCCTGCTTTGAGCTGCGCAAGTGAATAGTTTCATTTCCCGGAGCTCTAGCGTTTGCGTTTGTTTCGGTTTCCAGTTACTCTTCCTTGAGAAACTGAGAGCTAATCAGAATTGCGTTCCTCTAGACAGAATTAAGGTCCCTCCCCCTTGACTTTCCAGACTTTTGGGGGGAAGGTCTGTCTTCCAAAGCGAGTGGACTGCGCACCTCTAAGCAGCTTAGCAATCCCCTGGGACATCTTTTCTCCTTATTTTAAACAAAAGTATAATAGCACTTTGGGGCGTTTTAAGGCTGTTGTAGGAACCTAGAAAAGAAGCCACCTGTAGGGTCTGGAGAGATGGCTCAGTGGTTAGGAGTTCGGTTCCTAGCACCTATGTGGCAGTTTATAATCACCTTGTAATTCTATTTCCAGGCCATTTGATGCCTCCGTGGGCACTAGCACACACATATACACACAGTGATGCACACGGACAAAAATAAGTAAAAGTAATGAAATATTTTTCCAAAGTAGCCACCTGTAATCACATCAAGCTCTAATAACAGGACATATTTCCTGTGTATGTATTTGATCCTTATAGAATCATGTCATTATAAAGTATTGCGTTTGTATTTAAACGAGTTGTGCTTTCACCAAAGCATATTAATCTATAAGGGTTTTATTAAATACATGATACGGATTATATTGTTGTAAGTATGGATCTAACTAAAGCGCTCGTTTGTTTTTCTGCTTGTTTTTTGCCATTTTGCATGCTAGGCAATCACTCTACCATTGGGCTATATTACATTCCCAGGTCTTGGCCATATTTGATTATGTGTTTAGAATAATTTTAAGAACTGTGTGGAAAATGAAAACTAGTCCTCTGTCCTTATAGATGCAGTTCCTGGAAACTGAAAATTTAACAGGGAAAAGAAATCAGCAGGCAGAAAAACAAACACCAAAAAACCAGCATGTGATTTTATTAATCTTTTACCTAGAGAGTAATTGTGTGCATGGGAATTCACAGAAAGTCAATGAAACTCAAAGAGGTGCTTAGATTTAGGAACTGTGTAACTCTAACAAATGAAATGGGGATGGGACTTTACAGGATAATAAATTGTGGTGAACCATCAAGAAACAGTGATAGAGCACTTGCAGACATGAATCAGACCCTGGGGTCAAACAACAAACCAGAACACAGAAGAAGCAGAAAGAAATAAAAAAGATAACCTGTGTACATTAATTACCTAAAGTGTTAATTGGGGCATTTTGTCACTCACGAAGAGAACAGCACTAGAGCCCAAGAACTCAGGCTGCACTGAGGTATGTGATCCCGCCAGACATTTCCACAAACGTCTACAGAGCTTAAGGGAGCAAGACAAAATAATGCTCTTGGTTAAAGTGGTCAGAGCCTGGTTAAAGTCAGCCAGCAGCTTCTGTTCTCTGTGTAGAGATTGGCTGGGCACGTTTCGGTTTCGTTTCCCTGGGCTGTGACCCTCATTTTCAGTTTCCGTTTGCTTGTGTAGGAACTCAGGGCGTGTGTGCCTTGCCAGCCAAGTTGTATCCAGTTAGTCAGTATAATGCAGCTGTTTCCACACATGTAACATAAACGTGTTGGACTGTTTCCTCTAGATGTTTAGTAAGGACTTTAGACTTTGGTTTAACGGATATTGAAGGAGTCAAAGACTCTGGGTAAACTCTTCTTTTTTTGAAGGCAATTACTGCCTTAAACTCTTAGAAGCATATAATTTTATGGGATTTTCTTTTTTTATTTTATTTTATTTCTAAAGAACCCATTCAGGCCTTGGATACTGTGCACGTTGACCTTGTGAGCTGTGGGAAGGAGCACTCCATAGCTGTCTGCCACAAAGGAAGGGTCTTTGCTTGGGGAGCAGGTTCTGAAGGGCAGCTGGGGACTGACAAATTTGAGAAAATAAATTTAACACCTATGTAAGTATTTTAATTCACTTCTTTTACCAATATTTTTTGCCTATTAGGTACTTAAATACCAGACACAAAAATGACTACTACTAAGGTATCCCTAGCCTAAAGGGTTAAAATGTGGGGAGAGAAGTGGTCAGGGGATCATTTGTAGAACCAGCTTATTAATTAGAGCCCATGAAGGAGAAAGTAAGAATGACATGTGATTCTTGAGTACTGATTTTATTTATTCTAATATGCATATGGGGACATACTTGGACTCCTACAGTAAATTAAAAACAAAGACAAGTATTTTAAATACAAACCATCAAGACAGGAAGGATTCAGAGAGAAATCTCACTTGATTATCTTGTGTCTGAATAAAGCAGAGCCTCTCCCATTAACCACACTCTATGTATTTCGCAGATATTCAATGAATGAAAAAGCCTAATGGAACACACTATTCTCTTCCATCCAAGCTCTGAAACACATAGACAGTCACTGAGATAGAGACAGGAGTTCAGGGTCATCCTCAGTTACACAGGGAATCAGAGATCAGCTAGATCTACATGATACTCTTCTCACCTCCTCCCCTTAAAGACCTTAAATCCCCCAAACACACACACACACACACACACACACACACACACACACACACACACACACACACACCAAATGAAAACAACTAATGCAACGTGGTTTTGGCCATGTGCTGTGTATCAAAATGAAGAAATTAGATTAGGAAGGAATGTACAGCAGGTCCTCCTTGGGTAGTCAGATGTCTCGTCACTTAGTGATTCATGAACGTGATTAGATGAGTGAGATTGCTGCTGTCCCCTTCACTGTCCAGGGAAGCTACAGCCATGGGGGTGGCTTAGCAGGGTCACTGTGGAAAAGATCCTGTCTGGCCTGATGAAGAGATGAAAGGAGAGAACCCCAAGGATACTCTGTCTTCAGAAGGAAACAGAGATGGTGTGGAGTTCTTGGAGGCTGGGAGTGAAACCATTACTCAAGAAGGAAAGAAAAAACTGTTTAATAATTTGAAATAATACCATTGCAGAGCACAAGAGAATAAAATTGTTCCCTGAGACCTGATGTATTATCTAGAATATCTGGTGATATGTTATGATTTATTAAGACCACTGAAGATCAGAGAAGTAGCCAACATAGATCTTAACCTCTACCCAGCTGAAATGGCAATCCTGTCCTCAGAGGCAAAAGGCTCTCAGTTCCTGTGTCCTCCTCCTTATATTCCTTTTCAGCCCAGCCATGTCACTCCTGTTTCCACCTTCCTAGTGCTGGGACTAAAGGCATGCGATCCCAGGTGTTGAGATCATCTTTGTGTGAGCTCTTTCTTTTAGACTGGATCGATTCTGTGTAGTCAGTGTGGACTTGAACTAACAGATCCATCTATCTCTTAATCCCGAGTCTTGGGATTAAAGGTGCACCACCACCTCACTTCTATAGCTAATTAGTATTTGCTATTTTGATCTCCAGTGACTTTAATAAATCATAAACACTATATATCCACAAGAATATTTTTAAATGTTTGTAATTTATTTGATAATTTATCCTAAACAAGGTTTAACAGACTTTTGTGGCTTCTTCTTACAGGAAAATAAAAGCTCTGGATGGCATAAAAATAATCCAAGTTTCCTGTGGACACTACCACTCCTTGGCATTATCAAAAGGTAAAGAACACTTTGGGGACCTCTGAATGTCACTCGGAAATACTTTAAAATATAAACGATAACCATGGATTTTTAAATCCACCAGGTTTCACTTCAGTGCATTTACGACTTTGTTGCTGTTGTTGTTTTGTTTTCGAGACAGGGATTTTCTGTGTATCCCTAACTGTCCTGGAACTCGCTCTGTAGGCCAGACTTTGAACCCACAAAGACCCACCTGTCTCTGCCTCCTGAGTGCTGGGCACAAAGACGTGCAGCACCACTGAACGACTCATTCTCTTAGTGATCACACCAAGCATTAAGCTCTGTTACGACACTTACTTTGTTTTTGTTGGTTCTCTTTCCTGCTTCTTCCCCCTTTCTTACCCCAGTGCCCACACCTTATGCTCTCCTGCCCAATAGCCTCCCTTCTCCTTTTGTGTTACATGTGTTCTACTCTTTTGTCCTCCGGTGTTGGCAAGATGCACATCATTTCTTAGCGGTATCTAGCTGGCTCTACACTGCTCGGGAGTACTGAGGCTGTATAAAAGGCAGTCCATACATTTGCTACAGTTTTTACAGACATTTATAAGAACTTCACATTTCATGATACGTCCTCAAAAGTAGTTTTTAGAGAAATAAATAAGTTTAGAGGAGTTTAAAGTTTGCTATAAATAACAGAAAGTGCTGAGGATGCCTTGACCTTTATTACTTATGTATTTAAGCACTGGAAGTGCTTAATTTTAAATATTCTTAAATTATATTTTTTATTAATTTTTTTGTTTTGTGTATATGAGTGTGGGCATGTGGGTGTCAGAGAACAATTTTCAAGAACTGGTTCTCTTCTAACATGTGAGTCCCAAGAATTGAGTTCGGGTCACCAGGCTGTGTGACCAGTGCTTTCATCTATTGAGTATGTGACCTGTGTAGAAAAGCCAAGTTTATCTCACATAAATGATGAATATCTGGTCAAATTCAGCATAGATGCTGATGTATCTCACCCTAGTCATCCGTAACTATTTACCGAATGTCTGAAAGTTTGGACAAAGAAGATAAGGCAATGAACAACTTTAGGACCCTGTTCTGGAGGAAGTAGAGAAATAAATCAGGAAACACATGTAATAAAACAGGAGGAAGAGAACAAAACGGGGGACAGAGGCTGGCTATTGGAGTGGAAGGGAAAAGTCTTTCTTCTTCATAAAAGTTCTTAGTTCTAAGGATTGAACTACAAGGCAAGCTAAGCAAAGGCTCTTCTACTGAGATATCTCCAAGTATATATAATAAACACATATATTATATAATATATAATCTGGTTTTTTTTTTTTTTGGTTTTTCGAGGCAGGGTTTCTCTGTATTGTTTTGGAGGCTTTCCTGGAACTCGCTTTGTAGACCAGGATGGCCTCGAACTCATAGAGATCCGCCTGCCTCTGCCTCCCGAGTGCTGGGATTAAAGGCCTGTGCCACCAATGCCCGGCCATAATATATAATCTGTAAACTATATATTATTATGCCTATGTTGTAATTTCATTTAATTAAAATAGAATCATATCATTCCCCCCTCTTTCTCCTCCCTCTAACCCCTTCCATGTTCCCTTCTCAAACTCATGGCCTCTTAAGCTTTAATTCCGATTGTTACATATATACATATGTATAAGTAGATAAATATAAAATGTATCATGATGAAGTTTATGCTGTTCTTTTTAGGTTCTGTACCTCAGTGCCCATATGGGAAATTCTCACTGAAGAACAACTCCTATAGGACTGGTAGATTTGGTGGTGTATATGCTGTCTTGGTCTTTTATATTGTTTTTGCAAGAAGACAAGAGCCTGTGGGCTTCTTTTGTTGCTTGTATTTCTGATGTGGACACAATCGGCTGTGAGGCTAGACTCTAGTATAGGATGTGTGTACTGGGCTTGGACTGGATAATGGATCTATACCAGTCTACATGGGGTGACCAGAGTCAGGAAAGGTCATGCCAAAGCATGCAGGAGGCTTCCCTGTGTCTCCTCATCATATGAACCTGCTAGAAGGTCCTTTGTGGAAAGGAGGATGTTGTCTGGAGAGAAAAGTGGCTGGCGCGGGGTGGGGTGCCAGAGTCCCTGGAAGACAGCTGCAGGTGACAAGTTTGGAAACTGAACTTAAATTATTAAAAATTCGCTTTGGCCACCCATGACAGAAAGGACTGTTGGGAGCAAGGGGGCAGAATGTGGGATACACGTTTGAGGCTACTAAAATTTCTCATGGTGATTTGGCTAAAATGGTAACAATCAAGACATGAGAAAAGGTTGTATTCTGCATAGGTTTAGCAGCAGGGGGTGGGGGTTTAGGATTTTCTAGTTTGAATCATATAGAAAACACAAGTCAAGGAGAACTCCAAGTAAAAGCTGTAAGAACACAGTTGCCATTGCAAAGAAAAAGGATGGGCTTCATTTTGAAGGGACTCCTAAATATGAATTTAATGACACACATGCCTTGCCTTTCATCAGAAAATTTTAGTCCCATTTCCTCCTTTTTGTCCTTGTTTTACTCTTTGAAGGTTTTTAGAATTAAGTACAATGCAAAGTAGGAGAAAATCATTCATTTGTAACACATGGATGAACGTGTAGGATATTACAGTAGTAACTTAAGACAAATACTACCTCACTTACACATAAAGTCAAAAGAAACTGGATTCATAGAAACAGAATAGAATGCTGGTTGCCAGCAGTGTGCAGGTTAGGGAAATGAGCGGTTCAGAGGCTACAAACTCATGTGTAGGATGAATGAGATCTGGAAACCTGTTGTCCCATAATGTACCTATCATTAACAATAATGCTTTATATACTTGACATTTACTAAGGAGGCAGGGTTTTGTTTTGCCTCACTTTCCTGTTTGCTTATTTACTTGGAACTGGACATTTAATCCAAGACGTTGCTTAGTCTAAGTACACTCTGGAGCTACATTGCCCCAGCCCTACAAACAGAATTTGAAAACAACACCATGCACAAAAACCCTGTGTGATGCAATTTGATCATCTAATCCTGGCATTTGTTTTAGAGTGCATATGTATATCAGAATATCTTCAATAAAACTGAAAGAGAAGTGTGGAATTGAGTGTGATAGTGTTTGCTATTTTGTTAATCCAGTAGGCGTACAGTTCTAAATGTTCTTTATTTTTGTAGATGGTCAAGTGTTTTCCTGGGGAAGCAACGCACAAGGGCAGCTGGGCCTGGGGAAACAGTCCGGTGCCCAAGCCAAACCACAGAAGGTGAAGACCCTGCAGGGAATCCCGCTGGCTCAGGTGGCTGCAGGTGGCGCTCACAGTTTTGCTCTCTCTCTCACGGGGACTTCATATGGCTGGGGAAGCAACAGTGTTGGGCAGCTGGCCCTCAGTGGGAAAAATGTCGAAGGTAAGAAAATAGTTTTGTCCTTAAAACAAATTGTTGTTGCTTTGAGCTGGAAGACTAGCCTGCCAAAGGGCACATCCCAGTGGTTTCCAAACCCTCTCCCATTAGCGGTGCCCGGAAAGCTCTATCGGCTTCCTATTGCTTCTGGAATGATACCACAAAACTTTCAGCGACTTAAAACAATGCACTTTTCATCTAGAGTCAGGAGTCTGTTACTTGATCTCAGCCTTGCTTCCTGAAGGTTCTTGGTGAGAATCCACTCTCTTGTCTTTTCTAGCTTCTATAGGACTCTATCATGAATAGGATATTCCCTATGTCTCCAGAGCCTGTAGTGGCAGATTAAGTCTTTCTTCAATCATGGTATTGTGACACTGGTTCTTTTGTCTCCAGTTTCCTCAGTTGGGTCCACCTGGGTCATCCAGGTTAATCTCCCTACTTTAAGGTCAACTGATGAGCATTTTTAATTCTACTGACTATCTTGTCCAGCAACTTATATTTACAAAGCTCTGGGCTTGAGTTGTAAACCATTTGTCTACCTTTAAAGCTCTTGATGCCCAGGTTGGGTTCCATGCCCATTAGATCAGAATGTCTATGAGTGACAGTCAGGCTTCAGCCACTGTTTTGAATTTGGAAATCACTGATCATATTGGAGGAAATGACTAGCTCCTATGATAAGAAAAAAAAGTCTCTGAAAACTGTCTCTTTTAAATACAATTCCTTAAGAAGTCTTCTCCAAGAACTCCATTCTCCTGTTTACCTCTTTGCATCTGGCTAATATATATCAGCACCTACTAGGTGCCAGTACTTTGGAGAGCATTTACATCCCACCTTACCCTCTTAAGGCATGCTTTATAATTCTCTGTGTCACTAACGTATGTTCAGGCACCTACTGTGCATCACAAATAAATACAAAATTAGGAAAACATGTGGGAAACTTGGTACGCTCTAGGTTAATAGCTTTATATGTTCTAGAAGTTTAAGGGTAGAAATAAGTATTGGAGTGCAGATTTCCCCCCTCAAATCATATTTTTTTTCTTTTTAATACTTCTGAATATTGACTTTTAAAATTATGTTGTGTTATAAGACAGAAATGTAGAGATTACAAAAGTTATAAAAATATAAAGAAAATTCTGAGACACACACTCCAGAGTCTCACTTTGTAGTGCAAGCCGGTCTCAAGGATACAAACCTGCTTCTGAGTCTTTTTCTGATATCCTAGAAAATCTGCTTTCTTTCAGCAGTGCAAATCTACAAGCCTCATGCAATTGGTGCCCTGAAGAATCTAGGTGTGATTTATATCAGCTGTGGTTATGAGCACACTGCAGTGCTTACCCAGGTAATTCAAAACGTGCTTCTCCTTTTTAGTCATCAGAGACATAGTAAAAAGATATGTGTGCTGTTTATTGTTGAAAACAAGTGATCTTAGTCTGTCCAGGTTACTGGAACAAAGCCCCATCAATAGGAAGCTTATAGACATAATTCTCACAGCTCTAGAAGCCCAGGGTGCCCAAGATCAAGGTGACAGCAGACTTACTATAGTCATGGGTAACATTCTGACTCCTAGGTGACAGTTGCTGTGTTCTCATATGGAAGGGGTCAGAGTGCTCTCTCTTAAATATTTTTTTATTAAGAGAATAATTTCATTAATGAAGGATTTACCCTCATGACTGAATCATCTACCAAAGGCCCCATTCTACCTCCTAACAGCACTATGTTAGAAATTGTTTTAAAGATTGATTTTGTGGATATGAATGTTTTGTCTGCATGGATGTCTGAGTGACACACACAGTGTTTATGGAGGCCAAAAGCGGGTCAGATTCCCTGGACCTGACATTACAGACAGTTGTTAGGCTCCTTGTAGGTCCTAAGAACAGACCTTAGTTTTTCTGCAGGGGCAACAAATGTTCTTAACTACTGAGCCATCTCTCTAGCTCTTGGAAATTAGGATTTTAAACTTATAATTTTAAAAACACAAGTGTTCAAAAATGACATAAGATGAATTTCAATATCAAAACCTATTTAATGTACAAATGTCTAAAATGGAAAACTGAACTAAATATAAATCAAGAAATATTTCAAGATACTGTAGTAGAAGCTAACGTAGGAGCTAATGTTTTAGGTCATTATTTGCTGTCAATGTAGGTCTACAGAAAAATTTGTTTTGTCATTTTCAATACAAGATCACACTTTGCTACATTCCTTGCTTTATACAACAACAAGCCAGTTTTGTTAGTGTTTTCCTCTACCTCTTGTCCTGGTTGTCCAGTGTATTTCAGCAGGTCAGATTCTTCTCAGCATCATCCGGAACAGACTTGAAAATGATTTCTGTAGTTTAAATGCTTGTTTTAAAATTGCATTCTAAGGACCAAGTAGAATATCAGTGGTAGAATGCTTGCCTTGTTGGACTTGATTTTAGGTGCCTGAAAAAGAGTTGATATACCAAATGATTTTTAAATTTTGCTATCATCATCATCATCATCATTATTATTACTAACTACTAGTATTTCCAATAGATAAAATGGAGGACCTTAGGAGTGCTGGATAAGTGCTCTACCTCTTAGCTATATTTCTAGTTCACTAAATTGTTTTATTATTTTTAGTATTTGTTTTAAAACCATGACTTAAGTTAGGAAACCTCAGCTGTTTGAATTATATTAATCTTAGTCGACAAGAGAAAGCTAGCAGTGTGTGTGTGTGTGTGCGTGTGTGCGTGCGTGCGTGCGTACGTGAGTACAAGCATGGTAGGATTCAGATTCCCCAGAGCTAGAGTCACAGGGTGGTGAGCCCTCTGACATGGGTGGTAGGAATCAAACTCTGGTCCTCTGTAAGGGCAGTGCATCCTTCAGAATGCTCAGCCATCTTTCCAGCCCCTCTCTTAGCGATTTTAAGTGTGTAATGTAGTTTTAACATCTTTAAAGTACATAATTCTAAAGTAAATTCCATAAATAAACTTGTAAATAATTTTTGAAATAATAAGATATAAATAATGTCTTGAAACTTTGTAAACAAATAAATAGAAATAATTTTGGAATACATTATGGAAAGTTGCAAGTCAATTTATAAAATATACAAACCAATTTCACTTATTGCTTTCATCTTGTGATAGTTATATTTTATTTGTTTTTTTGTTTTTTTGTTTTTATGAGACAGGGTTTCTCTGTATTGTTTTGGAGGCTGTCGGTCCAGCCCAGCCTCGAACTCACAGAGATCCACCTGCCTCTGTCTCCCAAGTGCTGGGATTAAAGGCGTGCGCCACCACCGCCTGGCGATAGTTATATTTTAAAACATGGAATTAATCTAATTCCTTATTTTAAACAGGATGGGCAAGTGTTTACATTTGGAGCCAATAGCTCTGGGCAGCTACAGAACAGCCCCAGGGGTGAGAGAAGAGGCCCACAACTCATGGAAGGAATTGGTGGCCAAGTTTCAAAGATAGAGTGTGGAAGGTATTGAATTTTTTTAAAAGTTTGAATAGAAAGTATTATTCCTATTACTTATAAACCAAAAGGCATATGGCTATACTTTTAATAAAGCATTTTTTTCTTGAAAATTTACTTCTTTCAAATATATTTTAATTCAAAATTCTCATTTTTATTAGTAGTTATGTAACAGATACTTATTAGAAGTTAGTATGTATGGAGTATAAGTAGAAGGTAGGAAAGAGTTAAATAGTGAAGGTGGTAGTGTTTGCCATCTTAAATAGATTAGACAGATTACTCTCATGCCTGAAGAACATGCTGACTATTTGCATATATTCAGGGTTTGGATAACCTAATTATGAAGGCATTTTGAGCATCTCTGTATCTAACCCAGTACATTAAAAAATAATAAAATGCTTGAATTTAGAACACATGGACTAGAATATGGGACTCAGAAATAAATTTACACTGATACAGCTACCTACCATTTGAAGAAATGGTGCTAGTAAAACTGGATATCCACCTTAATAAAATAAAATTAAAAGTTACATCTCTCACCCTGCACACACACAAAAAAATTAATTCAAAGATAGTCTGGATGGTAGCCCAGTGACTGAGTGCTGGAAGCACAAGTGTGAAGACCAGAGACTGTATCCCCAGGACACAGGTAAGTGTGGGGGCGGGGGTAATGGCAGTCCACCATAATTCCAGCGTTGGAAGGCAAAGACAAGGCACCACCAAGAGACTAGTCATATCAGCAGTCTTTGGCTTGGTTTATTAATAGACGCCCACCATAATGAATGAGGAGTAAAAGCGATGGAGGAAGATTCCCTATTTCAGCCCATGGCCCCTGCAAGCACACACACACACACATTTGCCCACACTCATGTGGGCACACATTCCTACGAGCACAAACACCGTACATATACACATACAGGAAAAAGAAAAGCAGCAAAGTCAACTCTAGTGGATTCCAGACCTGAATTTGCAACCTGAAACCCTGAAAATGCTAGAGGGAGACAAGAGTGAAATCCTTCAAGGATGCAGGCATGGTCGAACTTTCTGAGTGGGTCTCTAATGGAACAGAAGCAGCTCCAAGATCTAACAAATTGAACTGGGTGGCATTTGAGAGCTTATACAAAGCAAGGGAATCTACTGGCAGAGTGGACAGACAGCCTCCAGAATGGGAGAAAAGCCTTGCCAGCTACTCCAGACAGAGGGCTAATAAGATCTAGAACACAGAAACAAACTCAAACGGCTCATAAACAGGCCCTGAACTGAGCACACAATTCTCTCAATTGGTAACACAAATGACCTGTAAACATTTTTAGACACGCTTAGCATCCGTAGCCTTTGAGATTCCACCTCACGCCCATCAGGCTGGCTGTTACCAAGGAAAAGGGGCACCAGGAATCTTGATGAGAGCAGAAAAATATCCAGCGCTGGTGGGAGCATAAACTGGTGCAGTCACCATGGAAACCAGTACAGAGATTTCTCAGACAATTCAAAGTAGAACTACCATTTGACCCAGCTGTAGCACTCTTGGGCACACACCCAAAGACTCCACAGCTTAGCACAAATACCTGCACACTATTTGCAGAAGAAGGGAAACAGTATCAGCCTAGATGTCTCGTGATAGACAATAGGTAATGAAAACTCGATACACATATGCAATGGATTTTTCTTCAGCTACCCAGAGAAACGGAGTGTGAAACTTTCAGGAAAATGAATACATCTGGAAATTACTATATTAGGAGAGGTGACTCAGTCAAAGACAAGTGGGAGTTCTTTCTAATGCAGATGCTAGCATTACTGTTTGTCTGTATGCATACACGTGGGTGAAAGCGTGATAGGTCATGAAGCTATAAAGGAGAGCAGAAAACGGGAGAAGAGACGTGTTGAGAAAGAATGGCAATGGAGCACATGTGACATGAGGGCAGAATACTGAGTGTGACACAGCTCAGGTGGAAAGGTATCCTGGAGCTCCGGAGCCAAGGACCACCACGGGTTGTAGTACAGTCCTGCCTCAGGGAAAGGCTTCCCCAGTGTATCAGCTGTGCTCCAGCAGGAGGGGGCTTCCCAGGGGAGTGGCTGCCTCTGCCAGGGTAGAAGGAGGTAGCTGGACAGCCACAAGCTGAATATACGCAGGGTTTGTATAGGGATTCTTGTGTGTGTGGGGGCGGGGGGGTGGGAGGGGGGGTTGGTCAGATTTCAATTCCCGAGTTTAGGATGGCTGGATCTCCTGCTCAGAGATTGGTTAGTTTTCTGCGCAGACTTAGGGTCAGATTTGGCTCTGGTTTCAGGGCCAAAGAGTGTTTCTTGAACTGGTCCTTTTAAACCTTTTGGCTCTAGTTTTAAGGCCAGGGTATATTTCTTTCACTGACTCTGATTCCAGGGACAAAGTATGTTTGTTTGGAAGTATGTTTGTTTGGCACTGTTTTTAGGGTCAGGGTGCATTTTTTTGTTTCTGGTTGCAGGGCCAAAGCATGTTTCTTTGGCTCTGCTCAGGGTGTGTTTCTTTGGCTGGCCCTTTTTCCCTATAGTAAGGGTCCAAGAAAAGACTGAAGGAATATCCCAGACTCAAATAGTGTGCAAAAGCAAACAGCATTTATCTGCAGAAACAGCCAGCATACGTGGGGACAGCCACGTGTACAAAACGGAGACCATGAAAAAAAAACGGCACGCAGATCCTTTTAAGCAGTTAGGGGAGGTTCTGGAGCAGTTGAGCATCTCAAACACAATCGGTTAAGCAAGCAGCAATTACATTAGTATACTTTTCTATGGCTCAGGGTTAGTCTTAACCACTTTTTGGACATCCTTGTTCAAGCCTGGGCAAGTCAGGACACAACTCAGAAGGGGCTGGAGGAATTGTCCTTGAGACAATTCTGACTAATGCCTCTAAGTCCCTTCCCCTCATCTCAGAATACAAGGATGTTGTGGATAAACGACCCTTTGTTGTGAGAGACACCTGTTTTGCACCTACTAAATTCAGTTGTGAGAGTGGGCAAGTTTAACCCCTTCATTAGCGCTCACTAAGTCCTGGAGTGGATCCCAAGAATCACACAGTCTAGGTGTGGTGGCAGTGTTACCACGTGTGGTGGAGGTAACTAAAGAGGTTAAGGCAGAAGGATCAGAAAGTGAAGATTATCCTGTGCTACATGGAGAGAGAGTTGCAAGCCTCAGTTTCAAAACAAAACAAACAAACAAAAAAAGTCACACTAAAGAAAGCATGGTAAATCCCCATCGCTAATACTATTTTTAGTATTACTACTAAGTTAATGACACTGCTTAGTGACATCACCTAATTTGCTGCACCACTAGCACTGTAATGAGACAGCTGGCTGTGTGGTGGTGAAGGTAAATCTGTCATTTTGCTTTTCCTAGAAGTCACGAGAATCTGGTTCTTCGGAATATCATTATCATTGTGTTGTGTTTATGTTGTAGTTATCAGACCATTGCGTATGTCTACACCACCGGTCAGGTGGTGTCTTTAAGCCATGGACTACGTCCCACAAGCAGCCCAACTCATCAGGAGGCCCCAGCAGAGAGTTCTAACATTACCTGCCTACTCTCTGCAGAAGGTATGAGTGCTCCCACTAGCTCACGGCTGACTGAGGGAGACATCATTCAGCTTTGTTCCACAGGATCCCACTGAACTATGCTTATGGTTCTTAGTTCTTTCATTTTAAATGGTTGCATTTTTTTTCCTAGAGTAATGGGTAATCATTTCTAAAAACCTAACCAATACAAAAGAAGACATCAAATTGATTACTTAGTTATTTTAACAGCATGTTTGATATATTTAAGCAAACATCTAAGCATGTCAACCCTAATTCATTGTGAAAGTGCCTAGATAATTAAAACATTTTTTTGAGTGAATAAATAACATTCGATGTGGTCAAAATTAAATTTTTGTGCTATTTGTAATAAAAAATTAGGAAAGTATACATTTTCAACAGATTAATAAATTTGACTTAGCTGTGTATATATTAATTTTCTCCAGGTAAAACTCTAAACATGTATGTTTTACCTTTTTTAGACCTTGTGGATGTTCAGGTCAAAGACATTTTTGCTGGAGCATATGCCAACTTTGTAACAACTCGTCAGGTATCATTAATGTGTTATTTTTTAAATGTATTTTTCCTCTATATTTCAAGAATTATTTCTTTTTCTGCTGCTGGGGAAGCAAACCAAAGCCTTGTACTTGCTAGACAAGCATTCTTCCCTGAGCCACACCCACTTTTCCCTAAATTTCAGACTAGTGTTTGAGACGGTATATTCTTCACATTTTCAGATTTCCTACTAAATTACCGTGTTCCTCTGTTAAAATGGTTTTGAACATTAGAATGGTGGGCAATTTAACAAGACCTTGTCCCAAAAACTGAACAGAGGGCTGGGATGTGGTTCCATGGGAGAATACTTGCCCAACAAACAAAAGCCCTAGATTTGATCCAAAGTGGGGATGCCAGGAGATGGGTGGGGGCTGTGGGAGGGGGAGGCTAAGACGACAGAAGCAAGGGTTGATGGGACGGGGAGATACCTGAAACAGAAGAGGGAAAGAAGAACAAAATCGGGCTGTGGGATAATGTTGGAATGCAGAAGAGGAACAAAGAAGTCATGAAAGAGAGGTTTCTGACACGGAGTCCAGGAGGTGGCTTTTCCACAGAAGCAGCAGCCCACCAAAGTCAAGTCAGAGGCGCACCCAGTTTAACTTTCCTTTTGGAAGGGAAGATTGTGTTGTTAAACTTGCCCACTCTCAAGACTGAATTTAGGTTTCATATCTCGGAGAGGTGCAAAACGGCTGTCTCTCACAAGAGACCATTTATCCACAGCATCCTTGTATTCAGAGATGAGGGAAAGAGGAGGAGAGGAAGTTTTGTGGTGACTGAGACATTTTGACAGAAAAGTAAATTAGAAGATCACGGGGGGGTTTCTCATCATTCACTGAAAGAGTGGCAGAAGAATGTCCCAGAGCAGGAGGTAGAAAATGGAGTCCGGCGCAGCATCTGTGTCTCTGTCGCTGTGACAAAACACAGTGACCGAAAGCAAACAGGAAGTGAAAGGGTTGAATCGCCTTACAGCTTACAGTCCACTGAGAAGGGAAGTCAGGGTAGTAACTCAAGGCAGGACCTCAGAGACAGGAGCGGAAGTAGAGACCATGGAGGCACCCTCCCCCCACCCTCCCTCCCACACCAAGTATTAATCAAGAAAATGCTCTAGAGACCAAAAAAGAAAAAAGAAAAAAAGAAAAGTGCAGGCCAGTCTGATAGAGTCAATTCAGTTGAGAATAACCAGGCCTTATGTCAGGCTGAGAAAAACTATGGTAAGTACAGAACTGGGAGGTCTGAGCATAGATATAGACCATTGTGACTGCAGGTTGGGGGTTAGCTGTGATTAGTTATTGCTGATGGCCAAGGCTAATGTGAGTGTGAGAGAAGCAGGGGTAAATGAGTAAAGGCAAAAGAAGATGGGCAACGATATCTCAAAATGGGGGGGGGGAAGGAGGGGGAGGGAGAAAGAGAGAATGTCCATTTGAAATTTGTGGTAATAGAATGAGTGTCCTTGGTCAGCACCCTGTGAAGCTGTCTTTAGTGGTGTTAGATACTTGGAACTGGCTCTGGAGTAATCTGGACTTGAACATAACAACAGCTGGAGTTTTGCAGTACAGTCCAGTAAGTGAGAGGGATTAGAGTAGGAGCTAAGCCAGTTGAAGAAGAGTGAGATTATCGTGGAGTCCAAGATCTGAGTACATGAAAGAATGCTGCATTGAGGGCTTCACTCTAAAAATGAATCGAGAAAATGGTGTGTGATGGTCAGAAGGACTGTTCCAAACCGACCCTTAAAATGGAGCAGTTGTTAATGATCAAGTCCAGTTTATACCCTAGAGATAAAGTGGTGTGTTTCAAGTAAGTGTGACTTTGCATCCTAACAATCATTTGGAGGTGTCTGCAAACCTTTTAGATTGGCACACTGACAGCCACTGCTACTATTGGGTAGGGGATAGGAACAGTAAGAATTAAATATATTATTATGTGTAGGATCCTTCACATCAAAGAATCATCTAATCCCAGGTGTCAATCATTTTAGTTTAGAAACCTTATCCAGGTCATGAATAGCTAGAACAAGAAGAGACAGGAATGGAGCTAAAGTTGGGAACTGGGATATTGGAGTAAAACATAGATTGCTTTCATCAACTTTGAAGTTGCCAAGAATGAAGACAAGAAGCACAATGACAGGAGCAGTGGCGAACACACACAAGTGACGAGTTGCGACCCTGGAGGGGATCCCCGACCCGCGGGGATGAAGCGATGAGGGTCGCTACTAATTTGGTGGGTCTCCACGAGCAGATCCGATCTTAAAAAGCAAACTTCAAGAGGTTAAGGAAAACAGACTCAAGACAACTTTTGCTGATCAAGAGCGTTTATTCGTGGGGGCGAAATGGTTTTTATAGTGGAGAATCTCAGGCATGTAAATCAAGTCTCAACTCAAATATACACCAAATAAGGTAAAGATGAAGCTGTAATTTTCCATCAATTGCATTCCACAAATGTTTGTCAGCGTAAGCCAGGTGCAGGAATTAGGGAGGGGTAAAAAGTAACACATTAACCCTTTGCCAACAAAGGCAATTGTTCTATTAGGGTTACTTCCCCCTGGCTAGGCGGGTGGGCTGCCCTGTGTAAATTTAACTTTTGTGGTTAGCTTTTTTTCCTTTGTCTCAAGGGCATGTGTGCCCACAGTCACGTAGGCAGAAGGCCAAGAAATGGTTGACAGACTCCATTTTGTTCAAGGTTCTCAGCAGTCCCCAATAATGTGTGCTTGTCAAGTTTCCAAGGAAGGAGGGACAGAGGGCATAGTCTGATGGCATGCACATAGAGAAGCTAAGGACTTTGAATAAATGACACATACGTGCCAGTAGGGGGCGGTACATTGCACTGAGTTCCTTGGGTGTAAGAGAAAATAAATCATGCTATTGATAAACTACAAAGGCACCAGGATTCAGATCAAGGAGCTCAGGTAGGGTGCAGAGGTGAGTATTAGTGGCACCTCTGCTTGTGTGAACAAGGCCTTGGCTCAGACACCATCACCAGGAATGGAAGGGGACGGGGACTTGCAGCATAGTGGTACACATATTTTTCAAGAGGATTTTATTTGATTCTTGAAAAACAAAGTGATATAGAATTTTGCCAGTCATGTCAAGTTCAGTAGAGATGGAGGTATACTTTACAGCAAAACATTAATGCCACTCTCTTTATCTTTCATACAAGTTCTCACAGTGTATCTAGTCTGATCTAGAACTAGGATCCTCTTACAACAGCCTCCTGAGTGCAGAGATGACAGGCATGGGCTACTATGACATCACCAAGTATCCAGTGTTCAGGAGGCTAAGGTAGGAGGATCCCAAGTGTCAGGCCAGTCTGGACTGTATAGTGTGGCCCTATCTCTAATCACATATAAGATGCATCTATGTGGTGTATGTACCCTTTAAGACACATTGCCTACAGTATTCTGTGGCACTAATTGCATTCATAATGCCATCAACTATTGTCACTACCTCTCAAATCGTGTACTCTCCAAACAGACACCTGATGTCTATTAAACAATAATTTCTCACTTCTCCACCTCCTCAGTCCTAGGTAGTATGTGCTTTGTTTCTGTAAGTTGGTATATGGACATATTTTATACAAGTGAAATCTTATAATGCCTTCTGTTTTTATTTGATTTATTTCACTTAGCATATTTTAGTACACACCCATCTTATATTAGTATATCAATTTCTTCAATGCTAAATAATATTTCATTGCATATTATCTATGTATCATATTGGAAATGCATTCACCTGTTGATTGACATGTGTTATTTCCCTCTTGTGGCCATGTGAATAATGATAAGATGAGTTTTGATTTATAATTACCCATTTCAGGCTCTATTTTCAATTTTTCTTGTGTTATTACACTTTCTAAAATGCAGAGCAAGTGAAATGGCCCATGTCAGAAAGCCAAATGTTCAGGCCAATCTGATGCCAAAGCTCAACCCACCAAACACATGCCTAAGAAGGCAGAACTTACGTGTGTCAGGTGCGTTATTGTTTCTCAATACATGTGTGTATTTCCTGGTCATTTTTGCCTTTATTTTCTTCCTTGAAGCATACTAGGTCCACAAGTGTTTCCACGAAAATCCTGCCAAAAATTAGCCGAATCAACCAGTCACTGGCAGAGAAATGGAGAGCAGCAAAACGAAAGAAAGAGTGTGAAGAAGCCAAAAGGTGACCCAGCTTGATGACTTACAGCCACTTCCACGGTTTTCAGACACTGATCTCATTGTCTTAACCGTAAGGGAGAAGGTTTGACTTAGCTGTGACAGAATGATTCTCTGTTACTACCTCTTTGGTTGGATCAGTTGTTGATGTGGATAGCGATTAATCTTCTATTTACTGTATGTAAGAGCTACAGGGAAAATGTATGCCCCACACCCCTTTCTAAGTAAGGCAGATGTAGGAATGAATTAATGTAAGTTGTATTGCTTTCAGGTCTTCATTGCTGACTCACTAGCATTTCAGAATTTAGGTCTTCAGAGTGATAGATTTTTATTCAAATGTCTGGAAAATCAACTATGAAGAGTTTTGGTGAGACTCAGTAGTAATAACCACAAGTAGGATACTCATACTCTGGGTATTTATGATGAATCTAGAGCTCCATTTTTTACCCAGACATAAGATAAAGGAGGCTTTAGGTATATCTATCCTCCAACTCACAGGGCACGTAAATCCTAGGCTATCTATAAGTACTACCCAACACATTTATATATGAGAGTGATTCTCCACCTTCCTAAATGCTGCAACCCTTTAGTACAGTTCCTCATGGTGTAGTAACCCCAACCATAAAATCATTTTCATTGCTGCATCATAACTGTAATTTTACTACTATTATGATTCATAATGCAAGTGTCTGATATTTCTGATGGTCTTAGGTGACCCCTGTGAAAGGATCATTCAACCCCAGAGGGGTCATGATCCACAGGTTGAAGACCAAGTATATGATAATGTTACCTCACAATGTCAGAAGATTGGACACTTTGTCCAGTTTTGAATTTGCCTTTGTTATTATATTTGCAGGGAAATCAGCATCATATTTTCATCTTGTGCTTGTTTGACTGCAAGCTTTTTGAAGAAAAGGTAAAACTTCGATGGGAATTACCTTAATTTCAAATACTGGGGCTTTATTTAAAATGAAAATTATAGAACCAGATTGAGTGTGAATTTTGTCAGCACATAGAGTCCAACACAGAGAATTCTCTGGCTGATAAAGGATTCTTTCATTTTATAAACTAACCCCTTCATATTCTTTCGTCTGTTATCTTTTTGGAGGAAATGTTTTATTTGGGCTAGGTATAAATACAGCAGGTCAAATGTGCCTGATATTGCTTTACTATTTAAAAACCAGAAATTAATTTATAGTTCCTGCTCAGTGGGATCAATGAAGAAATGAGATCTTGTTCATTTTGTTTTTCACAAATCACTACAGGGAAAATCTAATTTCTTTCTTACTTATCTGATTCTGAGAGTAAATTTGCTTTGAATTTTTAAGACAGACTTAGTAGTGCATTTAGGACTCATGTAGTCCAGCTGACCTTGACCTTGATGTGTAGAAGAGGAGGACACTGGACAGCTGACCTCCCTGCCCCCACCTCCCACATGCTGATATTGCCTAATAATTTAAATAATTCCTTTACCGCTCGGTATTTGGGTCTTCTTTCTCTCATCCCTGTGGATCCCACAAGATGGAATCTCAGTGTATAAAGAAAGAGTTGAGGACCCAGCAATGTCAAGGGTCCTAGACTCTTCTCTGTCTCCACGGGAGACTGAACATTGCTGCTCTGTCTGTTGCTGTTGTGTATGTTCACTACTTCGTGGCGATAGGTCTTGTGCTTCTCATGTGAACTTGCTTCAGACTGACTCATGGGTTCAAAAGATGGTAAAGTACACATTGTGTCAACACTCCCTGGTGACACTGTCTTGACCCTTGCTCATTGATCCTACACATACAGCAATTCCTTTGATTCTCTTTTCTTTCTTTGAGTGTGTCTTAATTCAAGTTACTATTGCTGTGATGAAACATGTCCATGGGAGGAAAGGGTTTGTTTGGCTTATGCTTCCAAATAATTGTTTGTCATTGAAGGAAGTCAGGATAAGAACTTACACAGGGCAGGGACCTGGAGGCAGGAGCTGATGCAGAGGCCATGGAAAAGTTCTGCCTACTGGCTTTCTCCCCATGGCTTGCTCATACAACTCAGGACCATCAGCACAGAATTGGCACTACCCACAATGGGCTTGGCCCTCCCCCATCAATCATTAATTAAGAAAATGCTCTACAAGCTTTCCTGTAGCCTGATCTTATAGAAACATTTTCTCAGTCTGGTTGCCCTGCCTGTACCTCCTGCCTGGCTACCGAAAAATCAACATTTACTTTTCAACCAATTAGATAAACATATATTCACAGCATACAGAAGGACGTGCCCCATCAGGGTCTAGACAAGAATGGGCCCATCAACACTCAGGCATAGAAAGAGGATAGACTCTGGAAGCTCTGTCCCTTACTGATGAACTATTTGCTGCTGATTGATTCAAGGACAGTGGGTGTCAGTGTCTTCACCTACAAACTCTTGCATGGCTCTACCAGGATAGTTGTAATGAATAGTTATAATCCCCTACCCATTCTGCTATATCTTTCCCATTCTTTCCTTCCAGTTTGAAGGTAAAGATTCTCTGGGACACAATGCCCCCTTTCTTCTTTATGCTAGCCTCAGATTCCCCTACTCAATATAGGGGACTCTTCTGTACTCATACTTTAGAAGTTAAGGCCATACCAGCCCTAAATTGCCAAATTGGTAAATTGATTATTTCCAGCCGAAATCACCTAAGGCATGTTGTAACAGATTTTTCTTTGGGCCACCAGCTCACTAAAAACAACAGAGACTTACTAATTATGAAAGTTCAGGCTATAGCTTAGGCTTGCCCCACTAGCTCTTATCACTTACATTAACCAACTTATATTAATCTATGTTTTGCCCCACGGCTTTTTACTTCTCTTCCATCTTGTACATCCTGCTTCCTCTCGCTCTGCCTGGAGATCCCACCTGTACCTCCTACCCAGCTTGTTATCACACCAGACGCAGACATATACCTTCACACAGTGTACAAATATCCCACAGTAGCATGATAACTCCCGAACAGATTTTCAGGCCAAGTTTATCTTTACTTGCAGCAAACAATAATAAGAGCTAAGGAAAATGTGTCACTCTAAATCAAAGTGAGAAAGTAGACTTGTAAGTGGAGTTGTAATGATACTCACTGGAGTAACCTTAACACACACACACACACCTTCTTCTCCTCCTTCTCTTCTTCCTCCTCATATCCTAAAAAGTTACTGCCTTAGTATATTCACCCATTTATCTTATTATTCCTTCACAAACATATTGTTCTTTGTCTAAAATGCATAATGCTTCATGCTTTTGTCATTTCTTTAGACTTATCTTGTCCCTCTGTACATACAATTTTAATAAAACTCGTATGCCTTTCTCTTGACAATCTTTGTTATATTAATTGAGTTCTTAGACCCATCAGAAAAGTCCACAGGTCCAGGATCAAGGCAGAAGTGACCTCTTCCTCTTCTACAATACTTTTTTTTTAAGAAGAATCATGTCCATGACCACTTTCTGGGAGTTTTAAACTTCCTGGCAAATGTTGCAAAGGAGAAAGAATTTTGAAGGAAAATTTACAGTTAGAATTTGTCTACATAGTTTAATTCTAATATCACTGTTGATACTTAAATCAGCAAGCACAAAATATTATTTTTTAAGCTGTTAGACTTGCTGGATGCTGGTCACATAATATGGCTAAATCAAGCTGCTAAGTAGACAGTATCTGGGCAGTGTTTCATTGTAGAAAGGGGCGGGGCTGAAAAGAATTGAGTAAATATGCAAGGATCCAGGGCTAGTGGAAATAGCAAGGGCATGGCTTTGAGATAAGCGATTCAGAGACTTCCACTGCACAAACTATGTGTTAGGGTTTCCCATTAATGAGTTAATGCATCTTTCAAAAAGTTTCTAAAATGAAACATCAAACCTCTGTGCTGACAAGGTCTCTGGGAATAGGAAACCACTATTATTGCATCACTCCACCTTTAAAGTAACCATAGAAACACAAAGCTGAAGTAGAAATGGTGACTAGACGTAATGGTGCATACCTGAAATCCTAGCACTTGGAAGCTGAGGTAGGAAGATCAAGACCAGCCTGGTCATAGTGAGACTTTGTTTCAACAAGTAATAAATATCCAAATAAGTAACAAATAAGTAAACAGAAATGGCCTTATGTGTAGAGGAGGCAATTCTAGTCATTAGAATAGAGTGACTGTTAGAGTTGATGACTTCTTAGATTTAGCATATAAAATCTTGCAGGCCAGGGATCAGAAAATGTCCAGGCACAAGTGATTCAGAAAAAAAAGTCTTGCTAGGGTTCAGATTGTAACTTTGTGGCAGAGTATGGTTTACCATGTGCAAGGCCCTAAGTCAAAAGTCCTGGGCTCAAGCCTAGTATCATAAAAATAAAATAAAGTAAAATGAAATAAAATAAAATCCTGCTAAAATTGCAGCCCATAATTGATGTTACTGACATAGAGATAACAAGTGTTGTTTATTCCTCTTTAACAAGAACACATTTATACATTTCTATGTCACTCTAGTCTTATTTTGAAAAGAGGCAACCTTTAAACAAAGTTATTATTTTGTGCATGGTAAGACAAAAAAAACAAGTAGTACCATCTGAAGTTTCAAAATATTCTTTTTTCATCTGTTTATTCATTTTTAACATTTTTGTGTTTATAGAGACACCGGAGAGGAGAATTTTATTGACGTGGACTTAAAAATGGCAAGGAATGTCTTCAAGAAGTTAACAGCAGTGAAATGGATTTCTTCCTCGGTAACAACCGCTGTTTATTTGGCTTACTTGAGACACAGCACAATCACACTTCTTTATAGGAACAATTTAATAGTAGCTCAGGTTTGGTGGGAGGTTGGTGGCAAGGACCCATGGATGGGCTGAACAGGGGACTAGTCTCCATTATGAAGGTACTATAGTTCAGACATTGTGATAGGTTGTGGCATTTATTTCTTTTTAAACTATTAAATGCACACTGGATATAGTCTTTTTGTTTTCAACGGAAGGAAAGTAATACTGAGACACAGAGCTTCCATCTAGCAACGCATATAAAACAAATGGTGGTTTAGGAAGCAGGATACCCTCTGGTGAGTGGTTTAAAAAGAAAAATGTCTGTTTTGGGATGTACGTTGGGTGTGTTTCTGATGAATTTCTGCTACTGATTCATCCCTTCTCTCTTTTGGGTAGCAGTTTTTTTTTGTTTTTGGTTTTGGTTTTTTTGGTTTTTTGAGACAGGGTTTCTCTGTATTGTTTTGGAGGCTGTGGCCTCGAACTCACAAAGATCTACCTGCCTCTGCCTCCTGACTGCTGGGATTAAAGGCGTGTGCCACCAATGCCCAGCAGCATTTTTTTAAACCTATGATTTTAGTTCGTCTTTAAAGTCTGTGATTCTGGCATGTAGAAAGGAAACTACAAATATTGGTTGTAAGTACCGGAAGCTGCAAATTTGCAATAGACAGCTATCAGGATGTCTTGGTACGTTGGGAAACCACAACATCGTGTAGTATATAGAATGGGTATCTCATAAACAAAGGAAATTGACTTTTTGTAGTTTTGGAGCTGGGACATTTGGAAGCCCTAAGATTAAACTGCCAACACAACCAGTATCTGACAAGGGGGGAATTGACTGAAGACTGTGTCTTCATTGTGTTTTCATGTAGTAGAAGGATAACGCTAGGGGCTTTACCTATAGGACCACTAATCCCATTGATGAGGACTCTATTTTTATAACCTAATCACCAACAAAATTCTTTGTCTTAACTCGTCGCTGCATTGAAGGGTATGATTTCAACATGTGAATTTTGGGGAGACACAGGCAATCTGTTGTACAAGAAAAAGGAAGACAGGCTGTATTTACTTGCATTGAAAACTAGGGACAACATTTATGTACTAACTTATTAGGGAAAGAAAGGGAGAGAAAGGACTTCTGTGGGCAGAACAAAAGGGTTTCTACAGAGATAGATGGAAAGCATGTCTACCTGGGATGTTCCTTGTATGGTTCCTCATTCAAGTGTGTGTTGTCTGAGTGCTCAGTTTCCTTCTTTGCTCCCAGGAGTCTATGCTTGAATCAGATGTAAGAGAAGCTCCAAAACGATTGGTTCTGCCTTAGCTATATCTCAGTTGACCTCAGTTTAAAACAATCTTCAGGGATGGTGTAGCTCAGTACCAGTGTATTTGCCTAGCATAGATGATCCATAATTCAATCTCTATTACCATATCACATATATACGTATAGCTAATCTCCATGCCATTTAAAAGGATCCAAGCACATTCTACATTTGGAAGAGAATGGGGGAACTTCTGCTTACTGTGTAGTAAATATTGTATTTTTCATTTTCAAGATAAAGAATAGTAGATGTTCAGTACATTCGGGCCAAGAATTTATTTATATAATATATAATTCCAGGTCCTTTTCTCCATGTAATTTCTGAGACATGTTAGTATCGTGGGAAGATCATGAAAAAGAGTTCTTAATAAAATCCCTTGGGAAATGATGCACATTAGTAAATTCAAGATTTCATGACATCACATACAGAAAGAAGTTTAACTTTAATATTTATTTTTCTTGGAGTCATTGACTTTGTGATGAGTTTTTCTATATAACACCTACTAAAATCCACAGAAATTACCATTAATTTCCTCCCCAGCACACCATAAAAACAGGGCATGGTAAAACACATCTGTAATTTCAGCACTTTGAAAACAGGAAAATCAAAGAACTTAAGGTCATTGTCAGCTACGTAACAAGTTTAAGGCTAGCCCGGGCTACATAAGGTCCTGGCTCCAAAATAAAATAAAATAATTAAAATGTAAGAATTCTCTTAGATATGAAAACAACAACTGTAACAATGTTAAATGTAGTAACATTCAGAATTCCACACTTTATTGTTGCATATAGCATCTCATTTAGCACTATGTGATGTATAGGCAGACACTGTAGTTAAAGATGTGAAGATCCATAGATGGACAATTTTAGTGCTAGCTGCTCTGGCAGACAAGTCCTGGGCCTCAAGAACCTAATCCAATGAAGATCTAATTCTCTCACCGAATCCAACAAGGGGTGGAGGAGGAGGCAATTCCAAACAGGTTTTCTTTTTTTTCTTCTTAACTCGGGCTCCATTCCAATATCTCAGAACCCTAAGGCTATGAAATCCTTTATTTGATCTCCTGGGTTTGGTCACATGAGAGATCGTAGAAAGCAAACCTGAAAGGGTTTCATATCACTTTCATATTCAGAAGCTAGGACTCCTTCTCTCCCTCCCTCCCCCCATCCCTCCCTCTGTCCCTCCCTCCCTCACAAGGCTCCACTCAACTCCAGGGGCTGCTGAGAAGTGCCGTCTGCTGTGACACTAGAAGGGAAATGAAAAAAGTTGGCAAGATGAACACAGGACACAATGGTTCTCTTCCAGGCTGCTTTTAGGCCAGATAGATGCGGGTTTGAACTTTATTAAATTGAGTGACTTCCTTTCTCAACATGAACACAGGACACAATGGTTCTCTTCCAGGCTGGTTTTAGGCCAGATAGATGCGGGTTTGAACTCTATTAAACTGAGTGACTTCCTTTCTCTGTTGTCTTTTGATTTAGTCTCTTCCTTTACATCCACACTCAATATACATTCAAACAAACATAAAGACAGCCACACAGACAGGCATACTGGCCAGTGCCTGTAATCCTAGCACATGAGAGGCTGGGGCAAGATGCTCAAGGCACTCAAGAGTTCCAGACCACCCTGGGGAATGCAGAAAGAAATAACATTTGTTTTCACAAAAAAATACAAACTGCCACCACCACAAAACCTCCAATTATTCCTACTGGGTTGTTTTTTATGTCTGTTGTCTCTTAAAAGTCTATCCCTGAATGAAGTAAGTAATAATTCCGAGTATGTTGGCTGTGAAAAAAAAGACCAAAGTGGATTTTGTATGTGTCTCTGTGTGTTAAGAGTAACAGCCATTTCTTTTTCTCTTTTTGAGACATGGTCTCCGAATCACAGACCGGCTCTATCTCTTTAGGGTGGCCTTGAATTTCTGACCATTTTCCCCTATTTCTGAGTGTTGTACAACCATACCTGATTTATTTGGTGCTATAGGTCAAAGCCAGGGCTTCATGCATACTAGGCAAGCCAAGCTCACACCCAATTGGTTTTGAATTTGTGAGCTCATGATTCCCCATCTCAGCCTTTTGAGTAATGGACTGCACATATGTTCTGCTGCAACCAGCTTTCAGAATTGTTTCTGGAGGACTTTGCCTTAGTTTCAAACAGAATATTCACTGTATATATCCATTTACATGTAATTTCACTTTATTTCCTTGATGTACCCTAAAATAAAATAGACAGATAGCTCAAATGAGTTTAAGGGTTGATGGTGTTTTATCAATTTAGCTTCAGAAGGACTTAAATGGACTTCCTAACTAGAAGATAGTGGAACAAAACCTGTAGACATCATTTGTATTCAATCGCAATACTGTGTCTTCTATAACCCCACCTTTGTTCTTTGTCCCCTTTTCATCATAGATAACCACATGTCTTAAGGATAATCTGATCAGAAATCTTCCGTACCATTCTCAACATCAAGATGCTCTATTGATTTTTCTTTTGCTCCCAGAATGTCCACTGATGCAGAATGCTAGAAACTTGGAGACCCTGACAGCTGAGTTTGCAAAGGCTATTTGTAAAATGAAGGGGGAATCATTAGCATTCTTGAGTAAGTTCTATATCATTTTATAAATATATTCAGTAGATCACTTTTGAAGTAGAAATTGTTGTAAACATTGGCTGGATCTCATACCTATTTGAGTACATGGTATAATGAAGTTGTGCAACATTAAACAAAAGCCACAACTCCCATCGCACAGAGCAAGTGTCGTTCTTAGACTTGAATAGGATTTTAGCATCAGACTTTGTTAGTTAGCCATACAGTGTCCAGTCAAGGGAAATCATACTTTACAATATTCGATCACTTTTTGAAAACTTCAAATATTTGACAAAGTGATAAAAAGCAAAGCTAAACTTATCACTGTTACTTCATTCAAAGTTAAGATATTTTCATAATTCTAAGTAAATATTCAAGGTCTGATGCTTTAAAAATACAAAGGTATATATAAATAAACGATCCCTGTAGCACTTTAGAAGGGGTTACAGACTATAAGTTTTTGTGTGTAAACATCAAAACCCTCTCTTACGGTAGTTTGGAAGTAGGTAAGTGCGCATGTTCCAATCCTCAGCACCCACATGAAAAGCTGGCATGGCTGGGTGCACCTGTAACTCCGGAGCTGGGAGGAACAGAGGAAGGAGAAGAACTGAGCTTGCTGGCTACTAGACTAGCACAGAATAAGGCATAGAATGATAAATCAGGACGGGACATCCTTATCGGCCATCTGTGCATGAGCACACACATGTGCATATACTGCGCATGCATGAACCCACTTTTATAACAACTCTCTCAAGAAATTCCAAGTGTTGCTTACGGATTACATTAAGCTAACTCTTAAAGTTTCCATCACTTTCACATTGCCCGTGCACAGGCCTGGGGGAACAAACTCCAGTGCAGAAGATGGAATGGTGCTCTGGGCAGTTGCTTCCATTCTTCTGCTGCTGTAAAAGTAATGGCATGCATTTCTTCAGTGTGTATAAAGAAAAATGCAAAGCACAATCACAGGATTCAATTATTAAATCGGATGTGCATTTTTATTGGTTGAATGAGCAGTGTATTTTTAAATTAAATATAAAAATTATGTGTGTGTGCTTTAAGTGAATGTATGTGATGTGTGTCAGGGGCACACCAGAGTTGGTGGAGGCAGAGGGAATATCAGATGTAACCCTGGGAACTGGGGTTACAGATAGTTATGAACCATCGTGTGGGTGCTGGGAGCTGAACCACTGAGCCATCTGTCTAGCTCCAGCATTTGCATTTTTTCCAAGAGATTTTTCTGGGTGTGGGAGTGAGCATCTGTAATTCTAGCACTTGGAAAGTAGAGGAAGAGGACCAGGAATTCAAGGCCAGCCTTGGCTAAATAGTGAAGCCTGGGTTATATAAGACATTGTCTCAAAAAGTGCTTTTCTTTTCTAGATCTAGGAGTCATTTCAAAATGTCTGCCTCACTCTTAAATTTGTATGTATGAATGTATGTATGGTTCTGGGGACTGAACCTGGCACCTTGCACATGTTAGACAGATGGTCTACTACTGAGCTATATTCCCAACCCTTCACAATACCATTTTTATTTATTTATAAAGCTAGTTTAATTGACAAATGGTAATTATGCATGTTTGTAAAGTACAGTCTGACTTTTATCTTCCGTTTTTTTATGTGCATGGATGTTTTGCCAGCATGTGTGTCTGGGCACCACACTCACGCCTGTGGCCGAGAAAGCCAGAAGACAATGTTGGGTCCCCTGGAACTGGAGTTACAGATGGTTGTGAGATGCCATGTGGGTGCTGGGAATCAAACCCAGTCATCCATAAGAGCAGTTAGTACTCTTAACTGCCCATCTCTTCAGACCCAGTATGACATTTTTACAGTGTATTCAAATCAGATCAAAGTGACTGACATATTTACTTTCTCAAAAATTTATTGCTTCTTTATATTGGGAACATTTGAAATTCTTGCTACTGGCTGTTTTTAAACAATTGTTTGTTAGTAGCTGCTTTACAATGTTGGGAGTCTTTCCAACTGCACACTTGTACCAGTTAATTATCCTCCCTCCATGGTCACTGTTCCTTCTACCTTTATGAGATCAGCACTTTTAGTTTACACTCAAAAACACATTCCGTTCCTGGCTTATTTAGCAAGTTCTAGAGTTCACCATGTTACTATAAATGTCAGAATTTTTCCCGCTTATAATTTTCATATTTTAATCTTTGACCCATATGGTTTATGGAGATTAGATTTTATTTTTTTCTAACAAGTTTTCAATTGTCCCTTCACCTTTACTAAGTGTTAAGTTTTATTTTCAGAATATGGAATGTACTAAATGTCTTGTATACTTGAGCCCATGATCTGCATGGTATGCATCTAGGTAATATCATTTAAGTGCATTAGCTTGCTAATTTATTTTATCCTCTTTGGTGGTTGTTTTTTTTTTTTTTTGAGATGTAGTCTCTCGTAACCCAGGGTGGCCATCTTCCTGCCAATGCCTTTTGAGAGCTGAGATTTTAAAATTTACTAAAGTTATTGTCTGATAACCCCTATTTAAAAGTACCAAAGTCCAATGTAATCTCAATAATGTTAAAAGTGAGGTATCTGTTATTTAAAGTAAGCGTATGTGTATGTTGCAGTTGTTTATGAAATCTGAAAACATGCATTATTTTTATATAAAAGTATCAAAAATATTACTGTATATTCATCTTATAGTCTTAGATTTGTGCATCTGTTTGACAAAACAGCTAGTTTGAATGTAATGAAGTCAGCACGTGGTTTTAATGCGTGATTTTAATGTCAGCACCCAGAGGATAAGGTGGGAAGTGTAGCAGAAGTTCAGGACCAGCCTGGACTATGTGACAATACCCTGTCTCAGACACATCAAATCAAATAAGAACAAATACAAAAAAAGCTGAGCATAAATATGAGCCACTAGCAAGTTTCTTCAAATCCTGAGTTTAAGTTCTTTAATTTTAATGATTTTTTCAGAATAAAGCTTTCCCCTACATCTGTTGAGTAGTGTGTTGTCTGTGATAATATCCATAGAAGAATTTTTTATGATTATGATGGTAGCTATGTCTTAAATAACCCAGCAGAAACTTCGGGATGTAAGGAGGAATGTGTTTGTCATATTTGATTTTCACACCCTCAGAAAAGTGTTGGGCATCTTTGGAAGCTTCTTCTCTGGATACACTGGTCCAAATGCTAAAGAAAGCTATCATCTCCATCTCTCAACTGTGTGATCCGGCTTTTAAAACCCTGAATCAAGATCAATATAATAACCTTAAGGCTCTTCTAGAAGTGATGAAATATGTGTATAAGGTAAGGTTTCCTCTAAAGGAATGTATATACCAATTTATCAAATAATAATTCTTTGAGTCTCAGTTAAACACTTTGAAATATATATTTTTAAAGATTTATTTATTATGATAGTGTTCTGCCTGCACATATGCCTGCAGGCCAGAAGAGGGCACCAGATATCTCATTACAGGTGATTGCAAGCCACCATGTGGTTGCTGGGAATTAAACTCAGGACCTCTGTAAGAGCAGCCCGTGCTCTGTTGAGCCATCTTTCCAGCCTACACTTTAAAAATATTTCAAATTAAAATATAATTATATAATTTCCCCTTCCGTTTCTTCCCTGCAACCCCTTCCATGTCTCCCCAACTTTCTCTCAAATTCCTGTACTCTTTAATTATTTTTGTTACATATGTGTATAAATGCATATACATATGAAGTCAAATTGTTGAATCTATTTAGTGCTGCTTCTATGTGTATGATTCCAGGACTGGCCACTTAGTATTTGATAACCAACTAGGGGTATCATCCCTGAAAATGACTAATTCTCTCTCTCAGCAGTCCTTAGTTTGACTGTAGTCCTTTTTGTAGGGATGGGGCATTGTGACATTTCCACCTTCCATAACAGCGTAACTATTGGTACTGTCATTGCTCAGACATCATTTAGACAACTTTATTATTCAGGTATCATGAGTACAGCTTTCCTGTCATTTATAGGAAACACAATCATATAACAAGTCTTCTGGTCCTCTATCTCTTATGATCTTTCCACCCCCAATTTCAGTGTTCCCTGAAACTCAGATACAGGTATTGTGGATGTAGCCATTGGGTCTGAACAACACAAGATCAGTTGTTCTCTGCACTTTAGTCAGATGTAGTTTTATGTAATGGTCTACATTTGCTGCAAAGAGAAGCATCATTGATGAGGGCTAAGAGCTACAATTACACGTGAATACAAGGATAGGTATCTGGAATGCTGTTGGGAAAGTGGTGATAGTAGGTTCTCCTCTAAGATCCCAACCTCACTATCCCTGAGTAGTTGTCTAGGTTTCCAGTACCAGGCATTATTTCCCTCCTGTTGAATTGGCCCTAAGTCCAATTTGAGAGCTCCTGGTTACTGCCAAGATTTGAGTACAGCCTATAGAGATATCTTGCCATATTTGGCATTGCTGTAAATCATAGGCATCACAACTGGGTAGAACTCCTTCCCTTGGCTGCTTTCATAGTATGTTCTGAGACTATAAAACTAGACCCCCCAGGAGGAGGCTTTCAGGTCAGATCCATATCTAATGCTGTTAGTCCTGTGTCTGAAATGTATATTGTTTTCAACCTCTGGGAAGTAGCCAAAAGCAGCTAACAATCGCCTATATTGTTTTGGGAGTCTCTAGAACTACCCTGACTGACAACTCTAAAGAAGATTTCTTATGTGTGGTACTGAGTTCTTTTAGATAGTCTGTGACCCTTGTGGGGAGCACTGTCAGCCCAAGTGGCATAAATTCATTTGTGTGTGTGTGTGTGTGTGTGTGTGTGTATACAAAATCATGTAATTGTAGGTTAGTATAAAACAAAATGGTTCCTATGGATTTTTCATACACCTTTAATGTCATTTTCATTTGCTCTCTCACTTCCTTTCTATATCGATCCCTTCACCCCCTCCCCAATTAAAGTCTCCCTGGTTTTCCTATTTCCCTTTTCACATCATTTGTACCCTACTATTCCCTTTCAAGCATTCCTTCTCTCTCCCTGTCTCCCTGTCTTAGTCAGGGTTTCCACTGCTGCAATGAAACACCATGGCCAAAAAGCAAGTTGGAGAGGAAAGGGTTTATTTGGCTTATATTTCCAGATCATAGTCCATCATTGGAGGAAGTCGACAGGAACTCAAGCAGGGCTGGACCCTGGAGGCTGTAGCTGATGGAGAGGACATGGAGGGTGCTGCTTACTGTCTTGCTTTCCATGGTTTGCTCAACCTGATTTCTTATAGAACCCAGGACCACCAGCCCAGTGATGGCAGCACCCAAAATGGGCTGGTCCTCCCCCATTGATCACTAATTGAGAAAATGCCTTATAGCTGGATCTCATAGAGGTGTTTCCTCAACTGAGGCTTCTTCCTCTTGGTGACTATAGCATGTGTCAAATTGACAAACAAAACCAACCAGTACAATCCTAATAGTCCCTTTTTACTATCCTGGTTTCTGCTGTTTCTCTATGTTCAGGTGTATACTCACACCTGAAGATTTGGAGTCAGAATCCATGAATGGGGCAGAACATGTGACACTGTCTTTCTGTGTCTGGTTACTTCAGCTAGAATAACATTTTCTGTCTCTATTTACCTGAAATTTCATTGTTTCATTTTTTAGAGCTGAATAATATTACATAGTGTATATGTACCACATTTCATTGTCCATTCACCAAATGAAGGATATTTGGATTGTTTCCATTTCCTAGCTATTGTAGGTAGGGGCAATGAAAATGACCAGGGAAGTATCAGTGGAGTAGGATATTATGATATTTTGAACGAGAATGCCTCCTAAGGGTTATGTGCTTAAATACTTGGCCTCCAGTTGGTGGCTGCTTGGGGAGGATTATGAGGTGTGGCCTTGCGGGAGAAGTATGTCACCAAGTGAAGGCTTTAAGGTTTCCAAAATTTATGCTATTTTGAATTAGTTCTTTCTGCTTCATACTTGTGATCAGGATATGAACTCTTAGCTATTCCAGTTGCCATGTCTTTGCTCCACCTCCATGGCTCCAACCCTCTGAAACAATGATCACAATTCTTATCTTGGTCATGATGTTTTTGTCACAGCAATGGAAAAGTAACTAAGACAGATGTCTAGTCCTTTGGGGATATAACAGTGGTTTTCAACCTATGGGTCACAACCCCTTCAGGAGTCAAACAAAATTTTCACAGGGGTCACATAAGACCATCAGAAAAATACAGATATTTAAGTCACAATTCATAACTGTAGCAAGATTACAGTTATGAAGTAGCAACAAAAATAATTTTATGGTGGGGGAGATCACCATAACATGAGGAACTGTATTAAAAGGTCACAGCACTAGAAAGGTTGAGAAGCACTGGCATATACTAAGGAGTCGTATCCTGGGTTATATGGTAGATTTATATTGGCCTTTTTCTCTACACTGATTTCAAGAGTGGTTGCACCAACTTGCAGTTCCACCAATAGTGATGAGTGTTCCCCTCTCCAAACATCTCCCTAGTGTTTGTTGTCACTTGCTTTGTTAATCTCAGCCATGTGACTAGGATAAATTGAAATCTCAAAATTCTTTTGATTGCATTTCCATAATTCTTAAGGATGATGAACATTTTATGTATTTCTTATCTATTTTATTTATTCTTTTAAGAACCCTCTGTTCAGATCCATAGCTCGTCATTTGTTTTCTTAACTCTTTTGTTTTAAAGATCTTTATGTATTCTAGTGATTAATACTCTGTTACAGGTATAGCTGGCAAACAATCTTTGCCACTCCATAGGTTTCCTCTTCATTTTACTTATTTCCTTAACTGAAAAGTGAAAAGGTTTTTGTATGTTTGTTTGTTTGTTTTTAGTTTTATGAAGTCCTGCTTCTCAATTGATGATCTCAATACCAAGGCAAATGAAGTTCTATTCAGAACATTTTTTCCTATACCTATATCTTATAGAATACTGCCAATATTTTCTTCCATCAGTTTTAGTATTTCGGGTTTGAAACTGGGTGTTTGATCCATGTGGAGTCAATATCCTGCAGTGTGGTATATGCTGATCTTTTTTATTCTTCTGTGTGTGAGCATTCAGTTTCCCCAGCACCATTTGTTGAAGATGCTGTCTTTTCCCCAAAAAGTTTTTGTTATCTTTGTCAAATATCACTTGGGTGCAATTATGTGCATTTGCCTTTGGGTCTTTTATTGTGTTCTATTTGTCTACCTGTCTGTTTCTGTGCTTAAGTTAGGCTGTTTTTGATTACTGTGGCTCTGCACTATATTTTGAGATCTGGAAAGTAATCCTCTTGACATTGTTCATTTTTGCTCAGGATTACTTTGGCTATCTGGGGTCTTTTCTGGATCCATATGCATTTTAGAAATTTTTTTCTATTTCTGTGTAGCTTTTGATTGGGGTTGCACTGGATCTATAAACTGCTTTGGGCTGAGTAGTCATATCACAGTATTAATTTTACCATGTAATGAGCATAGAATGTCTTTCGATTTTTTTTACTGTCTCTTTCTCTTTCTTCAGAAATTTAAAGCTTTCCCTGTAGAGGTCTTTTACTTTCTTGGTTAGGTTTATTCTCAGTGATTTATTTTGTTTTTGTTAATGGGAATGTGCACATGATCTCTTTCTCAGCATGTTTGCTGTTGGTGTATGGAAAGTGTTAAGTGTTACAGCTCATAGGGGAAAGGTGTCCTGGCAGTTGGGAGCCAAGGAATACCACAAAGCCACATTGCACAACAAACCTCACACAAGAGATTTATTGGGAAGGAAAAATCCAGGAGGATGGTTGTTGCAGATGTTAAGGAATAGCCATTACAGTCCATAGAAAAGACTGGGGGCATGGGAACTCCTGCACTTGGTGAGGGACACACACAGCTCTCCTGCTCTTATGACCTCAGGGCCAGCTCTCCCATGTGCTACAGGCTATGACAGGCAGGGTAGAGGAGAGGGAAAGATTGGAAGTGGGAGGGGGACAAATATGCTAAAGGTACAATATATATTTTAAAAATCCATGAAGAAACACATTATTGTGTATAATTTACATTCTTAATAGAAGATTAAAGTAAAATATATTTTGGATCTAGGATTGGTTGAATTCATAAATACAGAACCCATAGACACAGAGTGATTGCTTAATGTAATATAGAAAATGAAAATGGTTGCCATAAACATCTCAGAATTGAAAACTGAAAAACTTGATGGGAATTCAGATAATTCTTATGTTTTTTTTTTTCTTTTAGAATATGGGATGCTGTGTAATAGACTTCTTTCATTAAGAAAAAGCACACAAAGTACTTTGAACATTTGGGAAGACCTTGAGTTCAAGGCTAACCTAGGCCACACAGTTTCTGGCAATATACATGTCTTTATCTAGGCAGTCCTTAGTTGAGGGTGGTGGGTGTAAAAACTCACCAAGATTTGTGGTTACTTTCAGTTGTTGAATATATGCTATAGCATAGTAAATATTAATGTTAGAAAGCAGGCTGAAGGAAAGCCCATAGAGAGCAACACCCGGAACAAAGGACTCGTGTATGTGCCATATCATTTTTCTAGCTATCCTTGCCAGATTTGTTAAATCCTACCGTAGGAGGACCAAAAACCGTCATTAGGACACCGTGCCCACAGGCTGTCTATTAGAGTGTCCAGAGTCAGTAATATTCAGAAGTCACTGACCATAGCTGGGTCATCTTCTTTTTGCTATGGATGGTCTCAATGAAGCAGGATTTCTAGTCCAAGAAATAGACCCAAGGCTATTTTTACCAGGAAGCAGTTTGTTATGTGACAGGCTTCTAGAAAGTTATTATCCAAAAAGCCGGAGATCCAAATCTTTCATGGTTGAGTCTTTTATGGATTTTTTTGCTTCTTTGTCTTCCATATATGAGTACATGTATTTTATTGTGTGTTTCAAAATACTAAGCCGTTATGTCTAAAATGAGAAGAGAGGGAGAAGGAAGGGAAACTTCAGGAGAGAGGTGATTAGTTTTGAGGTCCACACAGGGGTGAGAGTAGGAGGTGGGGAGTTGGGGGGGGCAGATCAGCACATTTGGCTGTTTTCTGTTTTCCTTCCTTGCACCTAAGCTGGGGGCTCCTTTGTATACCACACCAGTCAATGGGTATCAGGCTGTGCTTTTGCTATGAGGATATAAGGATATTAGAGGAATGACTGATCACCGCAGTGGTCAGTGATTCCCTAAAAGAGCTCCTGAATCAACGATGCCGACCAGAATATAAGATGTAAGCCAAGCTTGGTGATGTGACTAACAGACAAGTGCCTAAGACAGTATTTCTCAGACTTTAACCTGGGATCTTGATTAAAATGCAGATGTCCCTGTTCCCATAGACCTTGAGTGGGCCAAGAAATGTTGCAATGCTTTTGGTGGCTTCATCATCACTAGTCTAAGGATTATCTTTGAGTAGCAAGGGTCAGGGCTTTCAACACACAACCTCCTTCCCTCCATATTGACTATGATTTATGCTTGGGTGTTCTAAGAAGAAAAGGATACATTAAACTGAAAGTGATAAACATGGTCATTAGTCTGAGCTGTTGTATTGGTCTCTTCAGTCTTGAGGATAAATAGAAGCCTAGTCCACTAAGATGTGACAGAAAAAGAAAGCACAGTGTTTCGTGGCAACTTTAGGCACGTGTCCTGAGATTTCAACACTGTCTATGTCATTGTGCTTCTTGCTTTTTTCTTTCCTGATACATAGAGTGAGTAATACAAGACACTGCTATTCTGTTTGTTTGTTTGTTTGTTTGTTTGTTTGAAACAGGGTTTCTCTGTATAGCTCCTGCTGTCTTGGGACTCACTCTGTAGACCAGGCTGGCCTCCAACCCAGAGGTCACCTGCCTCTGCCTCCCAAGTGCTGGGATTAAGGGTCTACGCCACCACTTCCCCATGAAAGATACTGCCTTTTAAATCTAACCTTTCCCTTGTAGCTTAATTTTACTTCTTAATAAACTACATTTCTCCTTGGTGATTTTTTTTGTATTCCTTTGTAGAAAATCAGAAGTTCAACTAATCACACCTGTTTTTCTATCCTCTACCAATCTCCTATCTGGACATAGTGGTATATCCTCTAATGCCAGCATTTGGTAGTAGAGGATGGAGAATCAGAAGTTAAAGTTTATCCTAAGCTATCTATACAGAGGAATAGATGTCGTGTGTGTGTGTGTGTGTGTGCATGTCTGTGTATGTGTTTGTGTGTCTGTATGTGTACATACACACGCGTGCGCACACACACACACACACACACACACCCTGCTGTCAGTTTCAAGGCCAGTCTAAGCTACATGAGTTCTTATGTCTATTTGATCTTGGAAGATAATGGTTTTAAGAGGTTTTTCTGTCACCATACACCTCTTCTAAAGAACTTGTGTACGGTCTTTGAGGCCCATCCCTAAAGTTTCTTATTGGAAAGGGTTCCTCACCACTGTGTTCCTACCATGACCTACACTACCTCCATCATTACTCTGACATAGAATGAAGTCCCCCTCAAGATTATTTTTTTTTCATTTTATTGAGATTTTTGTAAAATGCCCACAAATGCCTTATATGGATTGTATTTGGGATGCATACACTATTTTCCTGAGTATTATAAATATATACATGTGAAATTGAAAAGGCAAGAAAGACACACACGTACAAATTGACATACAAGTAGCATTTGTAGATATGAGTAAAGGAAGAAAATCAACTCACCTTCAAATGTACAGAGGGATTCACACTAGCAAAGACACCATGGATAAGCCAGAATTTTTTTAAAATGACTGATAGATACCATGTGGAAAATTCTTGATTTTTCAGTGAAATATGCTGAGTGAAGGTTATCCATCCAACTCAACTTGTCTAAAACACCCTTACTCTGTCACTGGAAAATGTATATTCAAATTGCATATAAGTGTAGGTATCACACATTCTATCATTTATTAATAAAAGTAAAATTTCAGGTCATGTTCTCTTTAAGGCTAACTGTCAACTTCCAGAAAGTACTTTTGTCATACATGAGCTTTCTGCCATGTTACACCCCGAAGAAGAGGAATTCAAACTGTTCCTTCGGTATAGCAATCAGGTATGTATGACATGTTCCCTTGTGAGAATGTTCATGACATAAAGTAGTGTAGCAGCTGTGCTATTCCTAGATTAAAATATGTCCTTATTACAACACCAAATTGGCTAAATTACACGGCCATTGAAAACTTACGCATTTTGCTCACAAAACAAATGTATTTTCTTATAAATGTGCCTCTAAGGGCTAGGGCTGCAGCTCAGCTGGGAAAGTGTCTGCTTATCATGAATGGAGGCCTGTTCTTGATCCCCAGTACTGTATAAGCAGGTGTGGCAGTGCATGCCTGTAATCTCTACACTTCCGTGGAAAAACAAGGCCAAAGTGCAAGGTCAGGGCTGGAGAGATGACTCAATGGTTAAGAGAACTGGATGCTCTTCCAGAGGACCTGGGTTCTATTCCTAGCACCCATAGTGTGACTCACAACTGTCTGCAACTCCAGTTCAAGGGGATAGATGCCCTCTACTGGCATCTTTGGACACTGCAAAGACTTCACACACCTGGGGTATAGACACACCCATAACAATAAAACACCTATACCCTTAAAATAAAAAAAAATTAATTTAAAGCAGTTTTTTAAAGAAAAGAAGTGCAAGGTCATTCTCTGGTACATAGTGAGTTTGAGATCAAACAGGGATATATGACACTTTGTCTTAAAAAACAAAGAAGGTAAGACAGACAGACAGACCAAGCAACAAAAGGAAGAGGGGTACTTCTTGGTATTAGATTCTTAAAAATAGATTCATAAGATCCTATCAGTAAATAAAGTGATGGAATTAAGGAAAGGAATGAACCTTATTTTTCTTTTCATTGTCAAAATTGTGGTTTGCTTATTTTTCTTTCTTTTTTTTTAGTTACAAGAATTGCTCACTGTTGTTTTCAGTGATTTTCTATTTAGCTTTAATTTGCCATCCAAAATTATATTAATGAAATGCGACTCATCTGCAAAACTGAGGGTATGTATGTTTTTGTCACCATGACAGAATAACTGAGGTTATATATTTTATAAAGTGTTTTATACATTTAAGGGATCTTAGACATTTTTTAATAACTTAACTATTCATGCCCAGTCACTAATTTTTGCACATGAACACTAGTTGTCATAGTTTGTTTGGTCCTATAATTGCATTATCTTACATTGTAAAGAAATAAGATTCTTAAATTCTAAGCGTACAGAGTGTTGGCTGCAAGATACAAAGATATTTTATTAGAAACATTAAGTGTAAGTCAAACCTGGTGCTTTGTGCCTATAATTCCAGCATTCATAAGGCTGACGAGGGTATTATGAGTTCAAGTAAGTGTGGCTGCATGGTGAGACCTTTTGCAAGAGCAAAATCAAAAGAGCAAGCAAACTCTAGGGTTATAGTCTGTAAAAAGTTGTGGAATCAGGTAGCCCCAGCTGGTCTTGAACATGAACCTGGCATATAATCAAGAAGTCCTTGAATTTCTTTCTAAAACGTGTTTACATTTATGTGCCGCGTGTGTGTATACTGCCATCTACACATGACGTTCAGAGGACAACTTGTCTGAGTCAGTTCTCTCCTTCCAGTGTGGACATTCCAAAGAGGGAATTGCAGTTACGAGGCTTGGCAGCAAGCTCTTTTTGCCTTCTAAGCCATCCCACCAACCCAGATCTTGAATTCTTGATCCTCCAGCTTCCACTGCAGGGACTGTAGGTCTGCTGCATCGTTCACACTTTTTATTCACCATAGTCTTCAAGGTCCAAAGGAGAACCAACTGAAATGTTTCTTTTTCTAAAAGTGTGAAGCCATGGCATCTCAAGGAAGCATGAGACCGCATCTCTTAATACTCAAAGTCAGACGAAGTCACCTGGTTGAAGACAGCATGCGTCAGTTAAGACAAGCTGAATACTCTGACTTTAAGAAACCACTAGCGGTAAAGAAAAATGTCTTGCTGGACTTTTTTTATTGTGGGAGGGGTCATTCATAATTAAGAAGCTGCTTTCTCAAGCATGGTGATTAAGGTCTTAAGGTTTCCAGAAGTCTCCCTTTCCCTTAAGGGAATGGAATGTTTGATTATGTATTGAGCTTCAGATTAACTCATTTTATTGATGATTATAGTAAATCATCCCAGTACTTAATGTCATAAATTTACTTTACAAGTTTTCTAGTCCAACTGAACTTATGAGTATGTAATTTTATGAATATGTGTTTGTAAGTATGATGCTATGGATAAAACCAGTTTCCACACATGCTAAGCAAGTGCTTTACCACTGAGCTCCATCCCCAGCCTATGGAGTTTTGTTTGAGTTTGTTTACATATATAAAAGTTAGATAGGGTTTGGCCACTCTATGTTACTATTAGCTGAGGACATTGAGCTCTACTTTCCTTCCTCCTCTTGGGACCATCAAGCGTGTTCTTCTCACAGTGCTACTGAAGATGCAAGCTAGCAATCACTGAATATTGTTTAAGCCAAAGAAGAGTCATGAATGAACCCAAGCCAAAGGCTGGGAAAATATACTAACCTCTCAATAGGAGAAATTGCAAAATCACATGCAAAAAAATTCAACCAAAAATAGTGCAGAACTGGGACTGTTCACACACACAATAGGTAGCAAGTGTGATAGGCAATTTCTCCCATATTGTGTGTCTAAACTTTTGACAGTGTAGGCTTCAGTTACAGCCACTCTTTATTGAAACCTTTGCAGATGCCTACAGAGTATGTACTGTGTGGCACTTCAGGCCATTTGTCATATTGTATGCTTAATAGAACATTGACTGATGCTGTGGGTAAAAGCTGGAACATGGAACCCCAAGGGGAGTAGATTTTCTTTATACCATCTGATAGGGTAAGTGGTAATCTCCCAAGGAAAACAGATCCTGGAGGATAGCGCTCAGACCAGAGAGGGTGATTTCTCAACATATGATTCAGATAAAAAACAGAGAAACAATTTTATTTTAGAAACCAGACTCCCTTTATATCTAGTTTTCTTATACTTTGTGAGGGATATCCATAGAACATTCTTCCCTCTATAGGAAATGACTGTCCTTAAAAAGGAAGATGTTAACTTCAAGACTGAGACAAAATAGACCAAGTATGACAAGGCTGCCCTTCCTAATGCTTGACCTCACTGTAAGTCCTGAGCAGACCAAAGAGTTTGATCATAGATCCGCAGCAAAGTTCTCTCAGACAGAGTAGACGAATGAAGCATAAGAATGCTCATGTTCAAAATGCAAGGCCTGGGAAGGGTAGAGTGTTTGCCTAGCACGTGTTCAATCCCCAGCACCAGAAACCAGATAGATAAATAAAAGAAAGAAACAAAATTATCCAGAAAAGGAAGTAGAAAAGGAATTGTGAGAGAAAGAAGGGTAAAATAAAGTCAGTACTGGACCATGAAATCCAGAAGCAGGGAGAACTGTTAAAAAAGAGGAGCTATTTAATGTATGTGTTTCCCCAGTGCTATGGCAACAAGCTTACTGCAATGGTTCTTAGCACACACTCAGTTGGGAGAGCTGCTTACTGGAAGTAGCGACTGGAGAAACCCAAAAGCTATTCCTTAGAGACAAGGTTGCACAGTCTGAAAGATAATATGAAGACAAACATCAAGGTTAAATAACTGGAAAATGTCCTGACTCAAAGGTTTGAAGCATATCCTTCTTCTGGAGCCTAGTGTATCAATCTAAAGGAGGCATGCATTAGCCGTCTTAACAACCTGAGAACCAGTGGGCTCCTGGCATTTACTACTTGGCAGCAAACTGAGGGAAGATAGGGTGTGAGAAGGTAAAGCAGTGTGTGTGTGTGTGTGTGTGTGTGTGTGTGTGTGTGCGTGCGTGCGTGCGTGCGTGCGTGCGTGTGTGTGTGTGTGTGTCTGGCAGTTCTAAAGAATTCTAGTATGGTCAGGACAGGCCCAAGACTTTTCCACAAAGGGCAAAGAGCAGTATTTTAAATAAGAGCTTTGAAATAAATTTTCTTTCTGTAGGTTGAATTTATTAAAGAAATTCGTGCTGAGGGTGGAGGGGTGACTTCAGAGTTCTTCCACCGTATATTTGAAGAGATGACAGACCCCAAATATGAAATGTTCATGTATCCTGATGAGAGTTCCCGTATGTGGTTTCCAGTCAAAGTAAGTTATGCCTTTCTCACAAAACATATTAAATGCTACAATATGCAAAACCATAGATGACAGTGTAAAATTAAGACTCCACAACCTGCCTTCTTTATTTTAAGTAGTACCACATCACCCATAGAGCAGGAGCTGTGCCATGGCGTGATCTGGCAGCATGTACAAAACCAGACTTATCCAGGTGTAGTAGCGTATAGCTAACCCCAGTGTTCAAGGCTCACGTGGAAAGGACAAAGAATGAGGGGAGCCCAGGAAAAACAAACAAACAAAAACCTCTGGTCCTACTCAAGATCTACAGAATAGAAACTCACAACACATATAAAACCCCTCAGTGATTCCTATACACATTATAGACTTTAGCATTAATGAGGTGTCATCAAAATACAATAGACAACGCAGAAAATGTTCAATTGGATGATATACAGATACACCAGTGAAATGATCTCCTCAGCCAAAATAGTAGACATGCACATCATCACCAAAGACTCTCTCACACTCCTTTCTTCCATCCTTTCTAAGTAACCACTGATCTGCTTCTTGTCATGGTAGAGTGAACCATAGTCTGGATACCTCATTTTATATAAATGAAATTAAATATGGCCAAGTTTAATATGTCTTTTTTTTCATTGAATTAATCTGAGATGCATTCATGACATGGCATGTGTCCATAGTTCATTCCTTTTTTTTTTTTTTTTTACTGTGGAGTGATATTCCATTGTATGGCTAATTTTTTTATTATTATTATTTTGTTTACTTAAATTAGAAAAAAAGCTTGCTTCACATATCAATCCCAGCTCCCTTTCACTCCCCTCATTCGTCATTCCCCACTAACCCCTGTAGCCCCCCACCTAATCCCCGTTCTGCTCCCCAGGGAGGGTGAGGTCCTCCGTGGGGGATATCCAAAGTCTGTCATATCATCCAGGGCAAGGCCTAGTCCCTCTCCCGTGTGTCCAGGCTGAGAGAGCATCCCTCAATGTGGAATGGGCTCCCAAAGTCCATTAGTCTGCCAGGGATAAATACTGGTATACTATCTGAGACCCCATAGATTGTCACGTCCTCTTCATTAACACCCACATTCAGGGGGTCTGGATCAGTTCCGTGCTGGCCTCTCAGCTATCAGTCTGAGGTTCATGAGTGTCACCTTGTTCAGGTCAAATGTTTCTGTGGGTTTCACCAGCCCAGTCTTGACCCCTTTGCTCATCACTCCTCCTTCTCTGCAACTGGGTTCCAGGAGTTCAGTTCAGTGCTTAGCTGTGAGTGTCTGCCTCTGCTTCCATCAGCCACTGGATGAAGGCTCTAGGATGACATATAAGGTAGTTGTCAATCTCATTATCAGGAGAGGGCATTTAAGGTAGCCTCTCCAGTTTGCTTAGATTGCCAGCTGGTATCATCCTTGTAGATCTCTGGAAATCTCACTAGTGCCAGATCGCTCCTCAAACCTGTAATGACTTCCTTATTATGGTATCTCTCATCCTGCTCTCCTCTATTCTTCCCCAGACTCAACCTTCCTGCTCCCCCATGTCCTCCTCTCTCCTCCTCTACTCACCCTGTCTTTCTCCCAGATCCCTCTCCCCTCCCCCATGCTCCCAGTCTGCTCAGGAGATCCTGTCCCATTCTCCTAGTCTGGGGTACCATGTATATCTCTCTTAGGGTCCTCCTTGTTTCCCAGACTCTCTGGTTGTGGGATTGTAGGCTAGCACCCCCCTGCTACATGTCTAAAATCCATAAATGAGTGAGTACATACCATATTTGTCTTTTTGTGATTGGGTTACCTCACTCAGGATGGTTTCTTGTAGTGCATCCATTTGCCTGCAAATTTCAGAATTCCATTTTTTTTTTGTTCCACTGAGTAGTACTCCATTGTGTAAATGCACCACATTTTCTTTATCCACTCTTCAGTTGAAGGGCATCTAGGTTGCTTCCAGGTTCTGGCTATTACAAATAATGCTGCTATGAACATAGTGGACACAGATAGCCTTGTTGTATGAATGTGCATCTTTTGGGTATATGCCTAAGAGTGGAATTGCTAAATCTTGTGGTAGACTGATTCCCATTTTTCTGAGGAATCTCCATTCTGATTTCCAAAGTGGCTGTATGAGTTGGCACTCCCACCAGCAGTGGAGGAGTGTTCCCTTTTCTCCACATCCTCTCCAGCATAACTGTCATTGGTGTTTTTGATTTTAGTCATTCTGACAGGAGTAGAAAGGTATCTTAGAGTTGTTTTGATTTGTATTTCTCAGATGGCTAGGGATGTTAAGCACTTTCTTAAGTGTCTCTCAGCAATTTTAGACTCCTCTACTGAGAATTCTCTATTTAGTTCTACAGCCCACTTTTTGATTGGATCCTTTGGTGTTTTGGATACTTGCTTCTTGAGTTCTTTGTAAATTTTGGAGATTAGCCCTCTGTCAGATGTGGGGTTAGTGAATATCTTTTCCCAATCTGTGGGGTGCCTTTTTGTCTTGCTGATTGTGTCCTTTGCCTTACAGAAGCTTCTCAGTTTCAGGAGGTCCCATTTATTAATTGTCATTTTTAGTGTCTGTGCTACTGGCGTTATGTTCAGGAAGCAGTCTCCTGTACCAATTCATTCAAGGGTACCTCCCACTTTCTCTTCTAAGAGGTTCAGTGTGGCTGGATTTATGTTGAGCTCTTTGATCCATTTGGAGTTAAGTTTTGTGCATGGCGATAGACATGGATCTATTTGCAGTCTTCTACATGCCAGCATCCAGGTGTGCCAACACCATTTGTTGAAGATGCTTTCTTTTTTTTCCATTGTATAATTTCAGCTTCTTTGTCAAAGATCAGGTGTTCATAGGTATGTGGATTAAAATCAAGGTTTTCAATTCGATTCCATTGTTCTACCTGTCTATTTTTGTGCCAATACCAACCTGTTTTCAGGACTATAGTTCCATAATAGAGCTTGAAGCCAGGGATGGTGATGCCTCCGGAAGTTCCATTTTTGTATAAGGTATTGTGTATAGGTTGTTTTGGCTATTCTTGGTCTTTTTGTTGTTCCATGTAAAGTTGCTTATTGTTCTTTCAAGGTCTGTGAAGAATTGTTCTGGGATTTTGATGGGGACTACACTGAATCTGTAGATTGCTTTTGGCAAGATTGCCATTTTTACTATGTTGATCCTACCTATACAAGAGCATGGGAGATCTTTCCATTTTCTGGTATCTTCTTTAATTTCTTTCTTTAAAGACTCAAAAGTTCTTACTATAAAGGTCTTTCACTTGTTTGGTTAGTGTTACTCCAAGATATTTTATGTTTTTTGTGGCTATTGTAAAGGGTGATATTTCTCTGATTTCTCAGTCCTTTTATCATCGGTATATAATAGGGCTGTTGGTTTTTTTGAGTTAAGCTTGTATCCTGTCATCTTGCTGAAGGTGTTTTTCAAGCTGTAGAGGTTCCCGTGTAGAGTTTTTTGGGTTACTTGTGTAAACTATCGTATCATCTGCAAATAGTGAAAGTTTGTCTTCTTCCTTTATAATTTGTATCCCTTGATATCTTTTTGCTGTCTTATTGTTCTAGCTAAAATTTCAAGTACAATATTGAAGAGATATTGAGAGAGTGGACAGCCTTGTCTTGTACCTGATTTTAGAGGAATCGTGTTGAGTTTTCTCCATTTAGTTTGATGGTGGCTGTTGGTTTACTGTATATTGCTTTTATTGTGTTAGGTTATATTCCTGTTATCCCTGATGTCTCCAGGACCTTTATCATGAAGGGGTGTTGCATTTTGTCAAAGGCTTTTTCAGTATCTAGTGAGATAATCATGTGGTTTTTCTTTTGCAGTTTGTTTATATGGTGGATTACATTGATAGGTTTTCAAATGTTGAACCATCCTGGCATCCCTGGATGAAGCCTACTTGATCATGGTGAATGATTTTTCTGATGTGTTCTTGGATTTGATTTGCCAGTATTTTATTGAGTATTTTTATATCAATGTTCATGAGCGATATTGGTGTTTAGCTCTCTTTCTTAGTTGTGTCTTTGTTTGGGTTGGGTACCATGGTATTTGTACCCTCGTAAAAAGAGTTTGGCAATGAACCTTATGCTTCTATTGCATGAAACACTTTGAGGAGTATTGGTATTAGCTGTTCTTTGAATTCTGCACTAAAGCCATCTGGGCCTGGGCGTTTTTTGGTTGGGAGATTTTTGATGACAGCTTCTATTTCATTAGGGGTTATAGGTCTGTTTAGATTGCTTATCTGCTCTTGATTTAATTTTGGTAGGCGATATCTATTCAGAAAATTGTTCATTTCCTTTAAATTTTCTAATTTTGTGGAGTACAGATTTTCAAAGTATGACCTGAAGAGTCTCCGAATTTCCTCAGTGTCCCTTGTTATGTCCCACTTTTCATTCCTGATTTCATTAATTTGCATGTTCTCTCTCTGCCTTTTGGTTAGTTTGGATAAAGATTTATTTATCTTTTTTATTTTCTCCAAGAACCAACCCTTGACTCTTTCTATTGTTTTCTATGTTTCCACCTTATTGATTTCAGCCCTTAGTTTGATTATTTCCTGGTGTCTACTCCTCCAGGGTGAGTTTGCTTCTTTTTGTTCTAGAGCTTTCAGTTGTGCTGTTAATTCTCTAATGTGACTATTCTCCAGTTTATTCATGTGAGCCCTTAGCGCTGTGAACTTTCCTCTTAGTAATGCTTTCTAAGTGTCCCATAAGTTAGGGTATGTTGTGTCTTCATTTTCATTGAATTCTAGGAAGTCTTTAATTTCTTTTTTTTTTATTTCTTGCTTGACCCAGGAATGATCCAATTGTGAATTGTTCGATTTCCATGAGTTTGTAGGGTTTATGCAATTTGTGTTGTTGTTGAATTCTATCTTTAAAGAATGGTGGTCTGATAAGATACAGGGTTTTAGTCCATTCTTTTGTACCTGTTGAGGTTTGCTATGTTGCCAAGTTTGTGGTCAATTTTTGAGAAGTCCTATGTGGCACTGAGAAGAAGGTATATTCTTTTGTGTTTGGATGGGATGTTCTATAGATGTCTGTCAAACCCAATTGGGTCACAACTTCTGTTAGTTACTTTGTTTCTTTGTTAAGTTTCTGTCTGGTGGTCCCGTTGAGTGGTGAGAATGGGGTGTTAAAGTCTCCCACTATAACTGTGTGAGGTCTTATGTGTGATTTGAGTTTTAGTAATGATTCTTTTATGAACGTGGGTGCCTTTGTATTTGGGACACAGTTCTCCCTGATGGATTTTTCCTGTGATGAATATGAAATTACCTTCTTCATGTCTTTTGATTGATTTTACTTTGAAGTCTAATTTGTTAGATACTAGGATAGCTACACCAGATTGTTTTTTCATTCCATTTGATTGGAAAATTGTATCGCAACCCATTACTCTGAGGTAATGTCTATCTTTGAAGTTGAGGTGTGTTTCTTGCATGCAGAAGAGGGATGGATTCTGTCTTCGTATCCATTCTGTTAGCCTGTCTTTTTATAGGCAAATTAAGATCATTAATATTGAGGGAAATTAAGAATCAGTGAGTATTAATTCTTGTTTGTTTTTTATTTGTTGTTGGTGGTGTTATTATTTGTGGATTTACCCTGTTTTGGCTTTTGGTAAAGAGGGATTATCTATTGCCTATGTTTTTCTGAGTGTAGTTGACTTCTTTGGGTTATATTTTTCCTTTCAGTACTTTCTGTAGGACTGGATTAGTAGATACATATATATATATATAGTTTAAGTCTGGTTTTATCCTGGAATATCTTGTTTTCTCCATCTATAGTGATTCAAAGCTTTGCTGGGTATAGTGATCTGGGCTGACATCAGTGGTCTCTTAGTGTTTGTAGAATATCTATCCATGACCTTCTAGCTTTCAGAGTTTCCATGGAAAAGTCAGGTGTGATTCTGATAGGTTTGCCTTTATTTGTTACTTGGCCTTTTTCCTTTGCTGCTCTTAATATTCTTTCTTTACTCTGTATGTTTGATGTTTTAATTATTATGTGCTGAGGGGTCCTTTTTTTGTGGTCTACTCTATTTGGTGTTCTGTAGGCTTCTTGTACCTTGATTGGCATGTCTTTCTTTAGGTTGGGAAAGTTTTCTTTTATGATTTTGTTGAATATGTTTTCTGCTTTGATTTGGGTTTCTTCACCTTCTTCTATACCGATTATTCTTAGGTTTGACCTTTTCAAGATATTCCATATTTCCTAGATATTTTGTGTTAGGGATTTGTGGAACTTAAGATTTTTTTTTGGTCGATGAATCTATTTCTCCTAGTGTATCTTCAGTACCTGAGATTCTCTCTTCCAACTTGTGTATTCTGTTGGTTATGCTTGCATCTGTAGTTCCTGATCATTTTCCCACCTTTTCTAATTCTAGCATTCCTTCAGTGTGTGTGTGTGTGTGGTTTTTTTATTATTATTGTTTCTATTTCAGCTTTCAAACCTTGCACTGTTTGAATTGTTTCTTGCAACTTTTGGTTTGTCTTTTCTTCCATTTCTTTAAAGGATTTTCTCATTTCCTCTCTTAGGATCTATCATCTTCATGAAGTTATTTTTAAGGTCCTTCTCTTCTGCTTCATCTGTGTTGGGATGGTCAGGTCTTGCTGGTGTAGAGTTCCTAGACTCTGGTGGCATCAGATTGGTTTTTTTGTTGTTGAATGTGTTCTTATATTGTCATCTTCCTATCCTTTCTTCCAGTGGGAACAAGTAGGGACTCTTCCTCTCCTGCTGCATACTGGTTCAAAGTTCTCTTCTGATGGGTGCAAGCAGGTCCAATAGTCTGTTGGGTCTCATGGTGCTTGCAGGTGGGTCTGAGGCACTCCCTCTCCTGTAGGTGGGAGCTGGATTAGTACAGTGCCTTCAGCAGATTTTGAGGTTGCTTGGTGAGTGAGGAGTGAGTCGAGCTGCCTGCAGCCCCTAGGCCAGGAGATCCCAGATTTCCTAAAATTTTTTACATAATCTCTAAGGAGTTGTTATTTGGAATGTGTCCTTAATTTTGAGAGTTATAGTATAGAATGTTTCAAGTTAGTAGGAACTATTGAAAGAATACTATATGTAACTTAATTCTAAAGAGTCGATTGACATTACTGAAATATTTTTCAATTTTATCTTTTTATACATTTTATTACACAGTGTCTTACTATGTATGCCAAACTAGACTTGAACTTACAATCCTCCTGCCTCCATCCTCAAAGTGCTTGGATTATAGGAGTGCACCACACTCAACAAATCCCTCACTTCTAGGCATATTCATATAGTTCTGCTCAATGGGAAACAGACACATATATATCCCTAATTTAAAAATGTATATGGTTGATAAAATAGCAAAGTTGAATCACAGTACATGCTACAAATTATGAGATGGAAAAATGGCTATGTTAGGAGAGGCCTTTGCAGACTGTACTCTGCTTTTAAATAATTTCAAATTCCATCTGAGGAGTAAATACTGTATGATGAGTGAGGAGAATGAACATTTTGCGAGTTAGTGACCCTCACGAACCTGCTAAAAGCAAGAATGTCACTGGAGTAGAAATCTTAGAATTTCACACTGGGGACACTTCCTCCCCTGCACTGCAGTTTGGGCCTGGGAAGTTTTGTTTTGTTTTTCTAACCAAGACTACAAGATGCAGAGAAGAAAAGTAAAGGCAGCTGCCATTAGTCTGTTCTTGTTGTCATCCCTTTAATGAACCACCTGAGTACTTTTTTAAGGAGAGTTCTAGAAGTCCAAGGGCAGGCGCTGACATTCGTTAGCTCTCACAATGACCTCTTGCACAAGGCATCATGATAGGGTCTTCTACGGGCTGGGAGACTGCATGGTAAGACAGGATGTGAGAGTAAGAAAGGGGTCCCATGAGAGCTATTTTCAATGGTTTTGAGGAATATTAAACTACACAGAGTAGGTTGTCATATGATATTTATTTAGGGAAGTCACTTACATGAGAAGCCGAGAGCCCAAGGTCCGTTCACTGCTCTGTGAGACCGGACCAGAACCCCAAAAGGGAGTGCGCCTCTTTCCCCCAGCTCTTTATCTAAGTCCCTACTGTGTACCTGTGACCATGCCCAAACGGAAGTGGTCAGTGGTACAGGTACTCTCCCTACACAATGGTAAGCCTCCATGTGGGTCTGCATTGCTAAATGAAGACAGCATTCATGTAAGGCTCATCTGGCCTTTGTCATGCTAAGCTAAAGCATCAATACAGAGTCACTTTCCTTCCTTTCTCATGCTTGCTCTTCTCCATAAATTGGAAGGCAACGACCTTAAAATTCCACATGAAAACTTTGTAACTGCACATGAGAATTTGTCTCTACATTTCGGATACGCTATCAGTAACAAAAAATTCATTCACTTAATGTTCTATATTGTTAATTTATATTAAAAATTATGCAAGAAGCTGGACAAGGTGGCACATGATTGTAATTCCACACTTGGGAGATTCAGGTAAGAGTAGTTCAATGTCACCCTTAGCTATATAGTGAGGTTTGAGATCATCCTGTATGTCTCAAACAAATAGGCATAAACAACAGAAAGATCATTATGGAAGAAATTTAGATTTTATTATAACTTTAAAAAGAGTCTGACATGTTTATTCTTTTGAAACACAGTTTGTGTCTAACTTGTGATGTTAATTAGAAAAGGGAGCTAAAATTTGTTCTTTACTAGTTCATTGGTGCCTTTGTATAACTAATTATTTATAATAGATTGGGAATTTTTCATTTTATTTTCCAGCCTAAGTTTGAGAAGAAGAACTATTTCCTCTTTGGGGTCTTGTGTGGACTCTCCCTATCCAATTTAAAGGCTGTCAACCTTCCTTTCCCACTGGCTTTATATAAAAAACTTCTGGAACAGAAGCCTTCTCTGGAAGATTTAAAGGAACTCAGTTTTCCCTTGGGGAAGTAAGTACATATGTTTGTTTAAGAACAGTGTTAAGGTTCAGCTGTTTAAGCACAAATAATGTCACACACTAAGAGACACAGGTGAGGTCTTCAGTTTTAATGTTACATGCCTGTTAGATGACCTTCTGTTAGCATGACTTGCAATAGAGTAAGCCTTCAAAAATGAAGAAAAGCCAGATGTTCTTCTGATCATTAACTAGCACAATAAAAAGGGCTTGAACCTGAACTTTTTATAAAGGTGGAAAGTACTTAGGGGAGTTCTCAGGGTGAGCATCGGTTATCCTTTTTAGCCTATAAATACATATAGTGCTGAGAGTGAACATGCATATATAGATATCCTTTATAAATAAGTTAGTGTACAAATGCAGATGTACATGGCTTCTAAGTAGATATAGTGCTATATAAGTTCATATACATATATATGTAGTTTATAAATAAAGTGCTATAAGTGCACATATTATAGATAGATAGATATGTTTTATAATTAGGTGCAGTGCCATAAGTCCATATTCATGGAAGTGGTTTATAAATAGATTCAGTAGTATAAGTATGTGTATACACAGAGATATGATTTATAAATGTAGTACTATAAGTGCATTATATAAATAGATATGGTTTATAAATAAGTTCAAGGCTATAGTGTGTGTAGATATAGAGACATGATTTATTGATGTAGTGCTATAAGTTTGTATACATAGATGTGGTTTATAAATACAGTGCTTTACGTGGTTTATGTGGTTTATTAATTTATTTAGTACCATAAGTGTGTATACATATGTACACACACACACACACATATCTTATCAATAAATGAAAGCATGCTCAGGTTCACTAGTAACTGAGTAAATGTGATTGAAATGGCCTTTTTCTTCCTTTTTCTTAAACTGTTGACAAAAATTGAGGGAAATGATTCTTTTTTTGTGGACTATGATTGATAGATTTTTATTAAAGCAGAGTTTCTCAACATTGGGGATTTTGACATTTTGCGATTTTCTGCTTTGAATGTGTTGGGGGGGGGAATCCAAGCCTGGGCCTCCTCCCTCTTCGACAAGAGGCTCTAGCCTAAGGTATCTCGTTACTTGAATTCTCTTTGTGGGAGTTTGTTCTGGGCATTGTGATGTGTTTAATAGAGTCAGGAGCTACCACCGCTCACTAGATGACAACCCTTAACTGACAACAAAGACATTTCCAGAATTTGCAAAGTAAGTCCTCCCCACTCTGGGGGTAAGGGTTCCTCTGTGTAATCATTTTCAAGATATGCAGCAGTGTTAACAAAGGGGAGTAGACTAACAAATCAAATTTTAAATTGAGATGATTCTAGGAAGATGAGTGGGAAAGAGCAGGAGAGGAAATTTACACTGAATTTTGTCCATGACTCTATTACTTAATTTTTCCCCATTGAATGACTATTACTTTGAAATTTTATAGTATCAAATGTGTAACTTTAAATTTTTCAATAGGAGTTTGCAAGAAGTTCTAAATTGTAAGGCTGGTGATGTTGAAGAACTTCACATATATTTTTCCGTGAGTAACAGTAAAAAACTAGATTATAGGTTGGCTTTAATCTGTTTTCTTGGTGGGGAGTTGCTGGAGATTGAACCCATACCAAGAAAGTATTATACCACCAAGATATGCCCTCAGCCATTGTCTTTTATTCTAAAAACAATGTTATTGCAGAACCTTTAGTATGGAATATCTACATTTTTAAAAAAAATATCTACAGACTCTGAAATATGGATATAACACAAACAATGTCTTCAACCAAACAGGGTAATTTGTGCTTGAAATATATATATATATATATATATACATATATATGTGTGTGTATATATATATATACATATATATATCAACATGTGTTAAGGGGGGATTAAAATTTTTTATATGATAACTCCTGCCTTTAATCCCAGCAGCTGAGAGGCAGAGGCAAGGCTCTGTGTGTTCAAGGCCACCCTGGTCTATATAGCAAGCTGCAGGTCAGCCAGGATTACATAGAGAAACCCTGTATCAAAATTTCAAGAAACTAAATGTGTGTGTGTGTGTGTGTGTGTGTGTGTGTGTGTTGAGTGTGGTGGTGATTCAGAGAAGGAGGTATGGGCAAGACAACAGCAAATATGAGGGCAGCTTGGGCATCATAAATAGGCTCTGTCACAACAAACAAAAGACTGAACTGTCCAGCACTCGGGAGACAGAGGCAGGCAGATCTCTGTGAGTTCAAAGACAGCCTGGTCTACAGAGTGAGTTCCAGGACAGCCTCCAAAACAATACAAAGAAACCCTGTCTCAAAAAAAAAAAGACTGAACTGAAAAATTATTTTCTATCTTGCATTATTTTAAATTTTATAGGAAAAATGTACTGACAATAATCGCAGACATGTTCATGTTTATCATTTGATTGCATTTTGGTTACAGATATACTGGGATAAAAAAGATGCTGACTTAATTACAAATGGGATCTCTGTACCTGTGAACGAAACCAACAAGTAAGATTCAAGACCTAAAAAACCGATTTTGAGTAGGCATAAAATGTTTGTAGCAATACAATTTAAAATATATTTGACCTTCTCAGATGTTCATTTTAGTTCCTTGTCTTTTAGCATGCTAAACAGGTCGGAGAAGAGAAGAAATGATTCAAGAATAAATCTTTCTGTCATCTAAGATATTTTTAGTTCCTATTCTATGCTATACTGTTTTCTAGATACTAGTGATAAAGCCGAGAAAAAGACAAAATGTGTAACATATCAGTATGGGTAGAAAGCTCATACCCAAATAGACCATCATGTAATATATCAAATAAGCCAACTAGTACCAGCTTATGAGATCTGACTGCAAATTTGTCATAAATATTCAAAGGTTATTATTTAAAGTATTAGTAACTTGAAGTCAGCTGTGGCAGGGATATTTAGAAAAACTGGCAAATGTTACAAATGACATTTTCCTTCCTGTCTTTTTTGTTCACCTCCCCCCACACCTCCTCTCTGTATTTCTCTTCCTCTGTCTCTTTACATCCCGCTCTCCCTCCCCTTCCTTTTAGAAAACTGGTTGTTAAATGTTTAGCAGCATATTTCTGGTTATGGGGAAGACAGAATGAGGTGGTTTACATAAATAGGTTAATTCGCAAGGGCAGTTTAAAGGGGTGGATGGGGTGTGTATGTGACCATGTTTCTAGTGGTAACCCTACTTAGCCTACTTTTCATTACTATATGAAATATCAAACACTGGGTAACGTTACAAAGAACAGAGTTTGTTTTATTTATCTCACAGCTCTGGAAATTCAAGGATCACATCTGTCAGTGGCCTCCTCTCTGGCAGCATCTTGAATGTGTAAGGGCAGCACCTGACACAACATAAGGAGCATAAACGTGTGTCTCTTTTGATCTTTCTCTAGAGCCTAATAAGGCTACCAGAGCTGAATCATTGGGCTTACGTGGAGATGTTGTGCAACTCAAACCACTCTCCAAAAGCCACGCCATAAACAGTACAGTCAGATCAAGTTCCTATCTTCTCAATAGCCAACAATGGGAGAAATAGATGTCAACACATAAATCCTTGCAGGACAGAGTCAAATCACATCCACACTGTTTCACTTGCCACCAGGAAGTCTGTCGTACTGGGAAAGTGCATTCTATAATGCAGGGCAGACCTTTCAGAAATTATTTCCGCAAATTAATTCTGCTACAAGAGAGTTGTGGGGAGGAACAAAGGCATCAGCAACTCAGAGCATCACTTTATGTATGAAAACCTGATGATTAGATTGAAGTTTCCAGGTAAAGAGGAAGCATACCATGCGAAAGAGAGTGTTTGCACTACATGGTTCCCTACGACAAGAGGGAGCCAGATAAGACTGGCAGAGAGGAATGTATAGAGGTGGAGAAGCAAGGGTTAAGTGGTTGGACTTCTGTCCACCCTTAGTTTCCATAGTCATCATACTCCACAGATTCTGGGTTTTTCACTATTTTCTAAGCTAGTTACATGAAGTGCAATACTTCCTTATGATGCTAGAGAGCGGCCAGTGAGCGAAAACGGCTAAGCTACAACTTTTAGTAGGTTCGATGCATTAAATGCATTTCCCATGTTTAATGAGATCATTGGGACATATCCTTGTAATAAAGAAAATGAGATTGGTGGTGCATGCCTTTAATCCCAGCACTCAGGAGGCAGAGGCAGGCGGATCTCTGTGAGTTCGAGACCAGCCTGGACTACCAAGGGAGTTCCAGGACAGCCTCCAAAGCCACAGAGAAACCCTGTCTCGAAAAACCAAAAAAAAAAAAAGAGAGAGAGAGAGAACACGCTAAAGTTTGAATCCTTCTCTTATATTCTCCAAGGACCTTTCTTCTAGTTGGCCAGGTTTTCATCTCCCTGTGTTGTATGGACTTGTGGGCTACAAAGGAGAAATATACTTTTCTTTATCAATAGAGTAAAAAGAGCAAAATAGATGACATTGTAGTCACTGATAAGGAATGTCAGTGTTTTTTTTTTCTTCCCTCAAGGCAAGACTATGTTTCTAAGTGTGTTGATTACATTTTTAACACCTCTGTAAAGACGATTTATGAGGAATTTTATAGAGGATTTTACAAGGTGTGTGACTTGGATATAATTAGGAAGTTCCAGCCCGAAGAACTAATGACAGCAATAATTGGAAATGATAATTGTGACTGGCAACAATTTGAAAATGTAAGTGACAACCTAAAAGTGCCCTCTAACTTCTCCAAATTACTGATACACATCCCTCCTAAGACCTTCTCTATCTCTATTTTTCTCTTGTTCTCAAGAATTCACGGTATGTAGAAGAATATAACAAATCACATCCAACTATTCTACTCTTTTGGAAGGCTTTCCATAAATTAACTTTGGATGAAAAGAAAAAGTTTCTCTGTAAGTACTGCAATTTTTTAAATTTTAAATTTCTAAAATTCATTTTACATACCAACCATGGTTCCCCTTCCCTCCCCTCCTCCACTCCTCAGAAAGAGTAAGATCTCCCATGGGGAGTCAACAAAGCCTGACAAGCTCCTGCCTCAAGGCTGAGCAAGGCATCCCACCATAGTAAGTGGGCTCCAAAAAGCCAGCTCATGCACCAGGGATCAATCCTGGTCCCACTGTCAGGGGCCCCTCAAACAGACCAAGCTACACAGCTGTGACCTACATGCAGAGGGCCTAGTTCAGTTCCATGCAAGTTCCCTAGCTGTGGGGCTTGAGTCTGTGAGTTCCCTGGAGTTCAAGGCAGCTGTCTCTGTGGGTTTCCCTGTCATGCTCTTGACCCCACCACCTTGTGCATATAACCCCTCCTCTCTCTCTTCAACTGGACTCCTGGAGTTCTGCCTGGTGCTTGGCTGTGAATCTCTGCATCTGCTTCTATAAGTTACTGGATGTAGGTTCTATGATGACAGTTAGGGCACTCACCAAACTGATCAGGGGAAAGCCCATTCAGGCACCTTATCCACTATTGGTAGGAGTCTCAGCTGGGGTCGTCCTCGTGGATTCCTGAGAACTTCTGGCACCAGGTCTCTCCCTAACCCCATAATGGCTCCCTTTATCAAGATATCTCTTTCATTGCTCTCCCCCTCCATCCCTCCCCCAACTTGACCATCCTGTTCCCTCATGTTCTCATCCCCCCAGGCACATATATTAATGGCATGAATTTGTAGAGGACAAACCCAAATGTTATGACTTTTCTAGGCTTTACTTGCCCCTGTGTAGTTGTCTCTGAATAACAAAAAGTGTACTCAATATTTACTAAATATAATAATTAATTTCTTCTTACTCATCTTGAGCTTTTTTAGATGAAATATCTTAACAAATTTGTATTCCTTTCTAGTATTTCTTACAGGATCTGATAGGCTTCATGTAAAAGACCTACAGTATGAAGGAATAATATTTCGTTGTCCTCAAACTTTCACTGAAAAGGATAACCCAAGATCATTGACATGTCACAAAATTCTAGACCTGCCTAAATATTCTACAATGAAAAGGATGAAGGAAGCACTTCAAGTGGCAATCAACAGTAACAAGGGGTTTGTCTCCTAAAGATGCTGAAATAATCACCTCTGAGCATCATAATCACCAGCCTCAGGAATTAGGTCTTTGACCTTTGGGTTCTTCTGTCTTTCCTTAATTTAATTAGTACAAGAAGTTAAAGAATTTTACTTAGAATTAGTTGGATAGTTTTTGGATAAAGAAGTTATAAATTAATATTTTTAGTGAAACATAATTCTGTAAAACATTTGCTATATTCCTAACTTTGCTATTAAAATGTTTGTTTTGACTGAAATATTTTCTGAACAACAATTAGCATCTAATACTATTCTAAATATTTATAAATATTCAGTATTGGGGCTACAGAAAAAGTTCAGTGGTTAAGAGCGCATGGCTGTTCGTATCCCACCTTTAAGGCTAGTTCTAGTATATCTAACACCCTCTTCTGTCCTCCAAGACACTGCCTAGATATGGTGCACAGACATACATGCAGACAAAATGCCCACACATGTAAATTAAAAATAAATAAATAAATAGTATTTATTTAAATGTTATTGTACCAATAATAAACTATTGATTTGAAAGAAGGGATAACTCTGAAAACGTTAGCAAAAATATATATGTTTTTGTTCAACATGTTTTGGAGGCATATAGATGTATATTTTGTATTAAGGGTTATATTTGGAGTTTTTGATCTTAGTAAATGCTAAATAATTTATTTTCAATATCTAAGTGTTAAGATTTATGATTGGTTGAACATATTTATACTTATACTTATTAAAGTGTTCCTGAAGTTATTTTAAATGTAGATACTGCGCCCAATCAGGAGCCCTTACCTACTTGTCATTATAAAAATGTAAAGTGAAGAAGCTGAAATACGTCTTTTTATGATGTTATAGAGTAAATGAAGCAATGTACCTACTATAGAAAATGACCAATACATCTTGAATACTGGTTTCACTTAATGTTAAAACATAAACTGCATTATACAGCTTTGAAATGATCTCATAAACTCATATAATCTTTCATAATAGTGTCCTATATGCTGTGACAGGCACTCATACAAAAGTTCCTTTCTTGTACCGATGTTGTATAATACATTATGAGACTTCGTGTGTGAGTTGTTTACTGGACTCCAGAGGAATCAAATAAACTAATAAATGTAGAAGATTACAAAATGTTTGTCATCAATAGCAACAACAAAAACAAATATACCACTAGAAGAGGGACGCTCCAGCTCATTTACTGACCCTCCAGCATTGCTCTGTACCAGACAAAGATGTGACAGAGAAAGAAAACCATAGAAATCTTATGTAAACAGACACCAAAATTCTGTGCTACATTTTAATGTACTGAACACATCCAATAAAATATAGAAGGGATAATGCCTCAGAACCAAACAGGAATTAATCAAGAAATGCATTTAAAAATCAACTACATCTCACCACATTAATAGGAAAGAATGCCCATATAATACCTCAGAATAGGCAGAAAGAAACTGGGCCAAATTTAATGCCTAATCATGTATGGGAAAGGAAACAAGGGCTAAAGGAAACTGACAATGTGATAAAACCTACACACAGTTGACTTCTTCATGTCAAAAAACTGCTTTCCACTGCCAGGGAGGTGAGAAGGCTTATCATGTCCATATAACACTGTATTCAGGGTATGTATCCATATTATAAAGTGAAGAAAATAGAAGACATCATGTCAAAAACAAAGAACAAAGCTGTCTTATAATTAAATTATATTAACTATGTAGAAGAGTCTACAGAAAAGCAGACTAAGTAAATATACAAAGAGCAAAAAAAGCATCATTTACAATATAAAAATACCAGAGAACAATTTCTAATAAAAATTGTATTATTTGTAATGAGAACTATATTGTTGAAAGAAACTAAGGAAGTCTTAAGTTAATATGCACAGAGATGTTATATTTACTGATAGCAACATGCCATTTTTCCAATTTTGTGTGTGTGTGTGTGTGTGTGTGTGTGTATGTGTGTGTGTATGTATGTATGGTGCTTTTGTATCTGTCTGTCTGTCTATGTCTGGGTGCATATGGTATATGTGTATTTCTGTCCATGTCTCTGTGTGTGTGTGTGTGTATGTGTGTGTTTTGTGTGTGTGTATCTTTGGAGAGACAGAGAGAGAGGGAGAGAGGGAGAGAGAGAGACAGAGGTGCTATGTTGCTTACTGTTTTGAGAGATTCCTTAATCTCAGACCTAGAAAAGCTGGGACTACTGACTAGTGCATTTGATCAAATGATCATTTAATTTAATCCCAGAAATTTATCATGTAATAAATAAACTGATGCTAAAATATATTATGCAGAGGGCTCAGAATACCCAAGACATAACTGAAAAAGAGCAATGTTGAAGGGTTTGGTGACTTGAATGAGAATGACCCAGTAGGCCAAGATATTTGCATTCTTAGTTCGCAGTTAGTGGCCCTGTTTGGATAGGTTCAGAAGGTGTGTTCCTGCTGGAGGAAGTATGTCATTGGGGGTGGACTTCGAAGCATCAAGAGCTATGTACCATTCCCAGTTTGCATGGTGGGCTTACTGTTTATAAGTCAAGATGAAAGCCTCCTGCTCTAGCTTGCCTGTCTGTCTGCTGCCACACCTCCCTGCTGTGATTGTGGTGGACTCTGGAACTATAGCTCCAAATAAACCCTTCTATAAGTTGCCTTGTTCATGATGTTGTATCATAGCAATAGAAAATTGCTAATACAGGGTGCTTATATGCACTGATTTTGTGACTCACTTTGAGTATATAGTGAAAAACTTAGTGTCAGTAGAAAACAATATGTACAGGTCAATAGATCACATACAACAGAACTGAAAAGTCAGAGATAAGTCCAACCACACATGGCCAACCTAGAGCTCCATTCCTTCCAGCTGGGAGTAAAACCTAGAACCCTACATGCTGGGCAAGTATTTTGCCACTGAATTATATGACCGACATTACCGTTGGTAAAAGCACAGGCCTGCATCTTTCAGCCAGATCTTTCAGCCAGATCCCACAGCCCGAGTCAGACCATGCCTCCCTGCAGTGCTCTCTGGGACACAGAGTTAACATTCAGTCTGTACTATGGCCTAATAGCAACTCCCGAGTTAAGATCCTAATCAGTCAGTGCCTGGCTTCTCCATGCTTTTTATCACACACACTATGCTAAACCAAATCACTTGGTGTGAAACCTCTGCTACCCTTAAAAGGTTATACAGAGTCAGACGTTTCCTTTCTTTTTAGTGTCTCCATCTACCGTTCTTTACTAACTTTTTCAGAAAGAGTCTTTTATTGGACCTGGACTTTTCTGTCTCATCTAGGCTGGCTGACCAGCGAGCCTCCAGAGTCTGCCTCTGCTTCCCTGGCTGGTTTACAAGCACCACCACTGTATCTGGCTTTTGTGTGGGAGCTGGGGATCCAACCCAGGTCCTCATACTTATATAGCAAACACTTTGTCCATGAAGCCACCTCCCCGACCCTGAATTAAAGTATTTATCACCCACACATAACTCCAAATGGATCAAGACTTTAACATAAGACTAGATATAACAAATCTGATAGAAGTGGGAAATAGTCTTGAACTCATTGACATAGGAAAGGAGTCTCTGAACAGGACACCAATAACACAGACACTAAGAACAATTGTGGGAACACCAGACCTTGAGCAGAGACCCACTTCCCCTTCTGCCTGGGAGTAGGCAGCTATAAGACAATGTTTAGTAAAAACATGTTTACTAAAAACGATACAATAAGTTCCTGGCCACTTCCCCTTCTGCCTGGGAGTAGGCAGCTGTAAGACAATGTTTAGTAAAAACCTGTTTACTAAAAATGATACAATAAGTTCCTGGGAAAGGCCTTCCCACGGAAACCGCCCTGACCTCGACCTTGTCCAGAGACTAACCGCACCTTCAAAAACCCACACACATCCACCTCTGGTGTCAGAGCAGGACCAGCCAGGGGAGAGGAGAGAGCAGAGGCTTCTCTGGTGGGAGCCTTTCTTAGGAAGTTTTTCTTGAACCTTTTTGGAGCCTGTTTAAAGTTCTCTTTATATCATTGAACGAGTCTCTGTGTTATCAATACCCGACACCCTCCGCACGTTCTCGGACACAGGCCGCGCAGCAGTCGTGACAATTGGAGGTCCCACCGAGATCGTGAAAGCGAGGTAAGTGGACGGGGTTAAGAAACTATGGGGAATAGTTCCGGGAAGCTAGAATCATTGCAGTATCAACTAAAAAAGTTACTTAAAGAACATGGGACTGCAGTCAAGTCTAAAACCCTAGAAGGCTTTCTAAAATCGATCGAACGAGCCAGTCCATGGTTCATTACTGGGGGAAGCTTAAATATTCCAGATTGGGAGGAGGTTCGCCGTGATCTTCATAGACTTTTACGAAAAGAGGGATCTGAGTCCTTGCCCCCTACGACATTCTCCTTATGGAGATTAGTGAGGGGAGCACTTTTGACAGATAAGGTTCGTCACCGCCAGGTAGTTCAGGACACAAAAGAGGCTTTTTTAGAGTTACAAGAGACTGAGACTCAAGCCTCCTTGAGTTCAGGGGCAGAGAGTGATGATGAAGAGACAAGAGATCCGTAACCAAGTATTGCTTAGCTTAGCCCATGGCAATCCCGATAGCCATGAAGGTTGGTTACAGATGATTTAAGGTTGGGGTATCTCCGATGACGGGCAACCTGTGGGGAAGACCCCTCCCACCTAAAACAGGGGTTCAAGGTCCCCCAAAGACGGGAAAGGGAGGGTGACCCTACTTGACCTAAGCCAGGAGTGCCTCATTTGAAAATAAAAAGGGGTGAATTGTGGGAACACCAGACCTTGAGCAGAGACCCACTTCCCCTTCTGCCTGGGAGTAGGCAGCTATAAGACAATGTTTAGTAAAAACATGTTTACTAAAAACGATACAATAAGTTCCTGGCCACTTCCCCTTCTGCCTGGGAGTAGGCAGCTGTAAGACAATGTTTAGTAAAAACCTGTTTACTAAAAATGATACAATAAGTTCCTGGGAAAGGCCTTCCCACGGAAACCGCCCTGACCTCGACCTTGTCCAGAGACTAACCGCACCTTCAAAAACCCACACACATCCACCTCTGGTGTCAGAGCAGGACCAGCCAGGGGAGAGGAGAGAGCAGAGGCTTCTCTGGTGGGAGCCTTTCTTAGGAAGTTTTTCTTGAACCTTTTTGGAGCCTGTTTAAAGTTCTCTTTATATCATTGAACGAGTCTCTGTGTTATCAATACCCGACACCCTCCGCACGTTCTCGGACACAGGCCGCGCAGCAGTCGTGACAAACAATAATAAGTGGGACCTCATGAAACTGCAAAACTTTTGTATGGAAAAGGACATCGCCAGTCAGGCAAAGTGGCAGCCTACAGAATGGGGAAAGGTTACTCATCTAATAGAAGATTCATTTATAAAATATATAAAGAACTAAAAATTCTGAACATCAAGAAAATAACCAAACTAAAAAATGGTACAGAACTAAGCAGAGTTATAGAAGATGCGCAAAAGGCTGGGAAGCACTCAAAGAAACATTCAAAATCCTTAGCCATCGGGGAAATAAAATTAAAATGACTTTGAGATTTTATCTGTACCAGTCAGAATGACCAAATCAATAAAACAAATAGTAGCATGTACTGGTGAGAATTTGGGGCAAGGGGAATACTTATTCATTGTTGGTGACAGTGTGAACTTGTATGGCCACTATGGAAGTCAGTGTGGTAGGTCCTCAGGGGGCAGGACATAGATCTCCCTAAAGATCCAGCTATACCACTCTTGGGCATATTCACAGAGGATTCTATATCCTACTACAGAGACACTTGCTTAACCATATTCATTGCTGCTCTATTCATAAGAGCCAGAAATTGGAAACAGCCTAGTCATCAACTGTTGAATGGGTAATGAAAATGTCGAGCATTTACACAATGGAATTTTAAAAAATCTAATCATATTTTTAATAAAGAAACAACAAAAATTTTGGAAGTTTTCAGAATGTATGAAGCTAGAAAAAATCATCCTTAGTGAGGAAACTCAGACAAATATTGTGTTAGCTTTTAAGTTTTTGTTATGTGTGCTGCAATCTGAATAGTCACAGAAGTTAGGTACCTAGTAAGGGATTAGGGAGAAGGAGAGGCTCTCCCAAGGAAGGGTAAGTAGAATA